GGCCTCGTTCAGCCGCTCTTGGCTCTCATCTGTTTGCTCGCCCGCTGCTCAGCCGCCTCCCGCCAGCACGAGCACATTTAGCCACCTCTGGGACCCGCCATGCCGCACCCGCACACTTCTATGACTTCATGCCGTTTTATACTTACATATTTATACATATTTTCTACATTCACATACACACGCACACAGTCGAATCTCTCGATAAGGAATTTGCGGCGGATCAGGAAAAAAATAATAAACAGTGAAAGTTATTCCATTTGCGCAGGCAGCGAGATTGAAAATCTCGTAATCACATTTGTCACTTTAGTTGATTTTTCCGGTCTGTGGAGAGTGCTAGGCACGTCCTCTGGCCATTATGTTCGGTCAGTACAGTACTTGACCAATAAGACCAAGATCGTACATTAACCAAATCGAAATAAATTTCATGAGAATTTTAATGTAGAACTTATCAAACAATCCATTTCTGTTGAATCATTATGATTTTGATAATATCATCCCACTTTTGGAAGTGTTCCCTATAGGGAAATTCCACGTTATTTGGAAACACGCTGTATACTTTAAACGCCCATACATCTTTTGGCGTGCGGAGGTAGAACATTTAACACGCGCAACACCAAAGTCGAGTTGACTTTGCCATGTGTTCGTCCCATGCGTGATCACGAGATGTGAAAAGCTGCTTACGTCTGCCAGATATTTTTAGCATACTATATTTATTGGATAATATATTTTGACTGGGTGCCCAGTAAGATGTATCAACGAGATGCCCACGAGATGCTGCAGCACAGTAAGCTTGTATGCCGAGGTATAAATACTCGTATGTTTGTATGTATGTTAAGTGCCGGCAATTGACATCAATCGAGTTGAGTTCAGTCGCCGCCAAAATTAGCGCATACATTAAAAATAGTTTCCCAAATTTTTTGGCAAATCGAGAATTGCCACAAATTGGCATAACATGCATGAACCTTAAGTGACTGGCATTGAAACAAGGCAAAGAAATGAAAGCCAAAGACAAGGCGAGTCAACTTGCCTGCCCCATTGCAATCAGTTTAATTGCTTATTGTTGTTGTTGTTGTTGTTGTTACTGAAAAATCAGAGCACGCTAACAAACAAGAACAACAAGTGACTACTGGACCAATGACCAAGCGACCATGCCGGCCAATGTTGATGTAATCGCACGAGACGAGAGTTGCGTTTTAGGCGCACGCGCCCAAACGTCCAGTGCTTTCGTTTCGTCTAGATGTGTGTGTGTGTGCGTGTGTATTTGTATATATATATGTTTGTGTGCGTGCACATAAGTGTGTTCGACTTTATAAAAAGCCAAAGCGAAGCAACAGTTTGCGCTCAGTTGACAGCAGCAACAGCAACAGCTGAACCACACATTGGACACCAAGTGAGCAACCGAACGAGCAGGCACGGGAGCGAACGAGAACCAATACCAGCACCACCGACAGCACAGCACAAGCATCAGCGAACGACGAGAGCAGTGCGCTGACATTTGTTACGAGCAACAATATTCTGATTTCTGGCGTTGTAGCCGCATCGTCGCATTTAGAACGGGACGCTCAGTTCTCAAGACAACGTCGTGAGAAACGCGCGCGTTTGTGCAACAAACTAAATACCTTTTTCGAATTGTGGAACAGTGTAGAAAATAATCCCTATAACAACAATTATCAGTTTTGGGCCAATTTAAAACGTAATTCAATCGTTAGTCTGAGCCCGCGCAATGTTTCGGCCCGGCCAAGTGCACAGATAGCAATGAAATGGTTTAAACGTGTGCGCAAAAAGTAAAATTTTGGAGCAAACGGCGAGCCAACAACAACAGAGCAGCACAGTCGCAATATACATATAACAAAAAAATATAATAGCCTGTTTACAAAAATATTCTGATCTAAAGCGCAACAATTTGCCAAATACGTGTGCAAAACGTAGCGCGATTCGAATTTTTAGTGTAGTCTCCTTATTTATTTATACAACTCGAACCTCAACCTTAACCGCACCACCAACGCAGAACACTTAACAAAATGCCTTTCCGTCGCGGGAAAAAGGACAATCGCAGCCGTGATGGCCATGTGTTGGTCTGGGATCAGAGAGATTTACACGAGCCCAATTCACCCCAAAGTAAGCCGAAAAAAAAAAAATAATATAAGCACTATACATACTAGCATATACTATGTATGACATTCAACAAAGAATTAATATAACCCACCAAATTGGTTAACGAAAAGACTGTACTGTGTATGCAAAAAATGCCACATATGCAAATGTGCGTGCGGGTATCCATACATGCCCCAATACTTATGTATGTACACACTCGTACTTTGCTCTGTTCTGGTTAATTATTTGTGAGCATGCGAGCACATTGCGTATACGTAACACGAATAGAGATGCCTAAATAGATGATAAATGCAACACCCTGTGGCTGGCTTGCGCACGATATGCACGTGCTGGTGTCATCAGCATTTACTCACCACAACAACAACAACAACAACAGCAGCAGTAGTAGCTGTTGTAACCTCTTTCGCTCTCTCGCTCTCTTTGTCTCTCTATCTGATATCTAGCTGCCAGCCCCCAGCCCGCTCTCTGCCAGGCGATTGTGCAACACGAGACGTCTGCTTGAGCAGAAATCGCAAATCGCGCGATTTAATGCTGCTTGCGCACAAATAAAAGCGAACGTACACACATATATGTATATATTTTTATTTAAATTATACATATATATTCCGCAATTCTGCGGTTTTCCCCATTTCTTGTTGTACAACACCAAACAGAAACAACAACAAATAACCAAAACAGAATGTTGAGAGTCGAAAAGTATAAAAAATTTCATGCACTACATTTATCGTGTGTGTGTATGCTTTTGGTAAAGAAATGTCGTAAAACGAACTATATTCCATCTTATAAGTATGTATGTATGTAAATTCTTCATGCATAAATACATACGTACATATGTATGTATGTATGTATGTATGTATGTATGTATGTATGTATGTATGTATGTATGTATGTATGTATATTTGCATTTGTATGTAGAGAAGACTGTTAAATAAGCATGACTGGCGAATTGTTGGGTGCAAATTCCATTAGAGCCGGCCGAGCGCATTTTGTACAGTCTTAAGCCCCGGCAAAGTATTAAGCTGCAGATTATTCCGGTAACAAACGTGAAGACACACATTTATCAAAATTCTATATATTATACTCAAAAGAGGAAAAAGAAAGAGAGAGAGAGAGAGAGAGGGAGGGAGAGAGGGGACAGAAATTCATTCCGCACTGCCCGCCCGTTTGTGTAAAAATTTAAATATAAATTGCTTCTTCTGCTGTGTGTGGTGGGAATCATAACTGTACTTCATACTATATACTACCCAGCTACAGATTTGACTTTGGTGCTGGCACAAAAGCCGATATTTATTTAAAAACTTCACATTAAACGCGCCGTCCCGAGCTGCAAAGCCATAAAGCTCATGTGCGTCAGCACGGCACCACTTCTCAAAAGCGCTAAAAATTCCACGCAAAAGAGAAATAAGTAAAAATTGAAAATAAAAATGAATAATCACACACACTCATCACGTGTTCCGCGCCCGTGCGCAAACCAAACAGATATATCAGTCATAATAACAATTAAATCTAACAATGACTCGAAGAGTCAAATAACAAATAAATGAATAGAAATTATCGCCAGCGTGTGTATCGCGTGAGGAGTTGCTTCAAAAACCAGCCAAGTGACTTCATTGTGAAATAGTTTAGTAATGCTTATTGTCATAGCTATCGCTATCTCTATGTATCTGTGATTGTTTATCTATTGCTAGACAAGACCTGGCCAGAACGTGAGGAAATTAAAAGGCGGGACAGCGTCTGAATTAAGTGGCAATACAGGGCGTATGCGCATTATTGACTCAGACTACGCAAACAAGAAGCTAACCCTAGCGACACAAAAGTATCTCTAAATATAGAATAGATCTTATCGTAGATGCTGATAAGCTTCATCATATATGTATACCATTTTGTTTGTACAAATATATATATATATATATATATATATATATATATATATATATATATATATATATATATAGATACATATAGATTTATAATGTATAGATGACCTCGTTCACGCTCGCATCATTTCCGCACGGGACAGTCACTGTTTTTGGTGCCGGCAGCTATCTAGAATTTTTGCGACCCTGCACGACCATGTCTGGCGTCAACACAAACTCATCTAGCAAGCGAATTTCGACAGTAATTAAATTTAATTAATCATTTCATTAGCTGACATGCCATATATACACATCTCTGCACTTGTTCGTTTCGGTTTCGCGTTCTGTTTTTGTATTTCTGCTCACAGCTCTAGGAATACGTCAGATGCTAATGACGTTAATTGAGCATTTGATTAACATACACCTAAGTGCCAGAGTAATGCAAGCCAGGCCACAGGGCATCACTTTTATCAATTTGCACCCTGCTCCCTTCAATCAGAGATTTTAATAGGATTTAAATCTATTTTTCCAATATTTTACCACGCCACAGTTGGTTGCTATTCACACAAACCTACAATAATATAGGATATTAAAAAAATACCATTTGAATATGATTGCTAATAAAACTTAATTTGAAAATGCAAGCCCATTAATCGTGGTACGATAGCAGTTCCACCTCATTACTTGGTATCTGAACAAATTTATAATCAGTTAGAGATATTGCTTGGACACACATTCCTCTAAAAGAGGTTTGCTGTATAAGAAAGCGTCCTATCAGTATAGAAGTGATTATTTCTGATTGTTGCGATAAACACAGTACATTTTATTGCCATGACGATTTATGAAAGGAAACATTTCAAGGTAGATGGTTAAAGTATTTCGGGACATAGGAATAATATAAAATGTTTGGCGTATTTGTTGCGTAATTCGTCTTACTTCCAATGTACCTTAATTCCGATAAAATACTTGTAGTGGTACTCATTGAGATGAAAATACGATTTTTGACACTCTTTCTTTTTTTCCTTGCAGGAATCAAGACAACACGGTACTTTGTCACGTTCATGCTCTTCCTGGGCATGGCCAACGCCTATGTGATGCGCACAAATATGTCCGTGGCAATTGTAGCCATGGTCAATCATACAGCTATTACAGATGGTCATGAGGAGCTTGTGGACGATGAATGTCCCGACCGAGAGTTGCCCAGCATTGTAAGTATTGAATATATTAAATTGATATACAACATATATTAATTGATATGCACTATTTTGCAGGATAATGGGCAAGATGGCGATTTCGTTTGGAATTCGAAACTGCAAGGATTCATTTTATCCTCGTTCTTCTACGGCTATGTCATCACACAAATCCCGTTCGGCATTCTGGCCAAGAAATATGGAGCACTACGTTTCCTGGGCTGGGGCATGTTAATCAACTCGGTGTTCGCATTCCTTGTGCCTGTGGCAGCGCGTGAAGGCGGCGTCTGGGGTCTGTGCATTGTGCGTTTCATTCAGGGATTGGGCGAGGGTCCCATTGTGCCCTGCACTCACGCCCTCTTGGCCAAATGGATTCCACCCAATGAACGTTCACGCATGGGTGCCGCAGTCTATGCGGGAGCTCAGTTTGGAACAATTATATCAATGCCGTTGTCTGGATTGCTGGCTGAATACGGATTCGATGGTGGCTGGCCATCGATATTCTATGTGTTTGGAGTGGTGGGCACCATTTGGTCCATTGCTTTTCTGATTATGGTCTTCGAGGATCCATCGTCACACCCGCGCATAGATGAGCGCGAAAAGAAGTACATCAACGACTCGTTGTGGGGCGCCGATGTGGTGAAGAGCCCTCCCATACCTTTCAAGGCCATCATAAAATCGCTTCCTTTCTATGCGATTCTCTTTGCACACATGGGTCACAACTATGGCTATGAAACTCTGATGACTGAACTACCCACCTACATGAAGCAGGTGCTGCGATTCTCGCTCAAGTCTAATGGTCTGCTCTCCGCTCTGCCCTATCTCGCTATGTGGCTGTTCTCCATGTTTATTTCGGTTATTGCGGATTGGATGATCACATCGAAGCGCTTCACACACACCTCGACGCGCAAGATCATCAACAGCATCGGTCAGTACGGACCTGGTCTAGCGCTCATAGCTGCCTCCTACACGGGCTGCGATCGCGCACTGACCCTAGCGATACTCACAATTGGTGTGGGTCTGAATGGCGGCATCTACTCGGGCTTTAAGATCAATCATCTGGATCTGACTCCTCGATTCGCTGGCTTCCTCATGGCTATCACGAATTGTTCGGCCAACTTGGCAGGTCTCCTGGCACCTATTGCAGCAGGCAGCCTGATCAACAACAAGGTAAGCTAAAAAAAACCTAAAATAAGTATGCAATGGGGTGGTCCTAACACCATACTTTCACCTTCACTTGCAGCCAACCATGGGTCAGTGGCAGATTGTTTTCTTCATAGCCGCCTTTGTGTACATCATTTGCGGTACCTTCTACAACCTCTTCGGTTCCGGGGAGCGGCAATGGTGGGACAATCCCGAGAATGACGCCGCCAAGGAGAGCCTTAGCAATGGTAACGGTGCCGCTGCAAACTCACCAAGGCTGAGTCACAATTCGGCGGCGGTGGCGGCGATCACCGCAAACGAGTCCAGGCAATAATAGAAGGACCCGAGTCCGTTGCCGATTACCCACTACATCTAGTTTAGTACCTAACTACTTTGTTTTAGTTATGTTAAGCTTAAAATTGTTATAGCACGACTCTCCGTGCACCTAAAAAATAAAAAGACAATAATCGAGAATGTAACATCGATCGATTTAATGCCACTAATATTGATTGTATGTTGATCTAGAAATTAACACAAACATAGGCACAAACTCTTGACTTCAATTAAAATTATTGTTAAATAATGAACATTTTTGTGCAGGGCAACGTAGAAAATATAATTGTCTACCATTTAAAATGCGTAGTTTTTTATTGTGATAGCAAAAAATGTCGCTTTGTATAGATCAAACAAGTTGGAGGAGAACGAAACAAGTTTCTATGTCAATTTAATTGAAATAAATTAAATTAAAATTGTTAAATGATGAAAGCAAAAAAGAAAACAAGGAACGTATATATGCCACAGATTTGAAAATAAAATTGTATCTGTCAGTAATGCATAAATTGTGTTTTAATTCATTAATTATTCCAGAAGAGTAAATAGGTAAAAGGAAGCATCGCCGACCCCATAAAGTGCAAAACATTCAAAACCGTCCATTCTGTATAGATTGTGAAGTTCAAAAAAAGCTTTGTTTGTAGTTTTGTGTCTTAAAATTCATTTAAATGCCAAGAAACCACTTCATTGAATATAATGAGCTGACAGCCGATCAATGTTTAAATATTACTCTTGATTTAATACAAAGAAAATATTACAATAAAGGAAGACATGTTGAGTATGTGAAATATTTTGCGTAACATGTCTTTCCACTTTCCACGTACATTGTTTCCGATCGAGTATACATTTTGTAATTGTATTTATTGAGACTAAAAACAATTTTTGACACACTTACTTTATGTTTCTTGCAAAATGTAAGACCACGCGCTGTTTTGTCACATTCATGCTCTTCCTGGGCATGGCCAACGCCTATGTGATGCGCACAAATATGTCCGTGGCAATTGTAGCCATGGTCAACCATACAGCTATCTTCGATGGTCATGAGGAGCTAGTGGATGACGAGTGCCCCGACAGGGAGTTGCCCAGTATTGTAAGTATTGAATATGTTGAATTAATAATATTGAAATCCCTTGAGAGACAATATTGTAATTAGACGGAATCTTTTTTAGAAAGATGATAGAGATGGGGAGTTTGTTTGGAATTCGAAACTGCAAGGATTCATTTTATCCTCGTTCTTCTACGGCTATGTCATCACACAAATCCCGTTCGGCATTCTCGCCAATAAATATGGAGCACTACGTTTCCTGGGCTGGGGCATGTTAATCAACTCTGTATTCGCATTCCTTGTGCCTGTGGCAGCGCGTAAAGGCGGCGTCTGGGGTCTGTGCATTGTGCGTTTCATTCAGGGATTGGGCGAGGGTCCCATTGTGCCCTGCACTCACGCCCTCTTGGCCAAATGGATTCCACCCAATGAACGCTCTCGCATGGGAACCGTAGTCTATGCGGGAGCTCAGTTTGGAACAATTATATCAATGCCGTTGTCTGGATTGCTGGCTGAATACGGATTCGATGGTGGCTGGCCATCGATATTCTATGTGTTTGGAGTGGTGGGCACCATTTGGTCCATTGCTTTTCTGATTATGGTCTTCGAAGATCCATCGTCACACCCGCGCATAGATGAGAGTGAAAAGAAGTACATCAACGACTCGTTGTGGGGCGCGGATGTGGTGAAGAGCCCTCCCATACCTTTCAAGGCCATCATAAAATCGCTTCCTTTCTATGCGATTCTCTTTGCACACATGGGTCACAACTATGGCTATGAAACTCTGATGACTGAACTACCCACCTACATGAAGCAGGTGCTGCGATTCTCGCTCAAGTCTAATGGTCTGCTCTCCGCTCTGCCCTATCTCGCTATGTGGCTGTTCTCCATGTTTATTTCGGTTATTGCGGATTGGATGATCACATCGAAGCGCTTCACACACACCTCGACGCGCAAGATCATCAACAGCATCGGTCAGTACGGACCTGGTCTAGCGCTCATAGCTGCCTCCTACACGGGCTGCGATCGCGCACTGACCCTAGCGATACTCACAACTGGTGTGGGTCTGAATGGCGGCATCTACTCGGGCTTTAAGATCAATCATCTGGATCTAACTCCTCGATTCGCTGGCTTCCTCATGGCTATAACAAACTGTTCGGCCAACTTGGTAGGTCTGCTGGCACCCATTGTAGCAGGCAGCCTGATCAACAACAAGGTCAGCTACACACACCAAACTGGCGCTTCTAGCCTAACCTACTTTCACCTTCACTTGCAGCCAACTATGGGTCAGTGGCAGATTGTTTTCTTCATAGCCGCCTTTGTGTATATCATTTGCGGTACCATCTACAACATATTCGGTTCCGGCGAGCGGCAATGGTGGGACAATCCCGAAAATGAAGCGGCCAAGGAGAATGCGCCCACTATCGCTACAAATGAGCCCAAGAAATAATAAGCTGAGTTTAGTACCTAACTGCTTTGTTTTAGTTAAGTTAAGCTTAAAGTGGTTATTAACATGGATACCTAAAGTAAATTAAATTAATAGTGTGAAATGATAAAAGTAAATAAAGAAAACATTTTAACTGTAAATAGACGACAGATTTACAATGACAGAAATGCAATTTTCATCGGATGCATAAACTGTGTTTTAATGCATACTTCCTTTCCTATGGAACAAGAAGGGAGCTTCTCATAATATAAGTTATATAAATATGTATTCATGTACAAACATGTTCATTTTTAATTATCCCACTCGTTCTTTAAATAATTATTTTTTATTAAATAACACGGCAATATTTACTATTCAAAATATAAAAAAATTATTGTTTATTGCCGAAACCCGGGATTGAACCGGGGACCTTTAGATCTTCAGTCTAACGCTCTCCCAACTGAGCTATTTCGGCACATAACGGAAGTTTCACCAATGCGTATTTAGGCAAAACGCTTGTCGAGTTACACATCAACCCTTAACAGTAAGCAGAATTTTACACAAAAGCGCCACCGCGAGACGATACATGTTAATGCTAGACAAAAATATTTTGAGACCAAACTTTTTCCTATAAGTTGAAGTTTTGATTTAAATAGTCCGTACATGATAAGAATATTTTTCTAGGTACACATGTAAAAAATAAATTTGTTGTAATTTAAACATTTTAAATTAAATATAAAAAAAATCTGTCTTGCCGAAACCCGGGATTGAACCGGGGACCTTTAGATCTTCAGTCTAACGCTCTCCCAACTGAGCTATTTCGGCGGACGGCTTCTCTCGCCCAACTGCAGTCACCAAGCTAAAAAAAAAACATTGCAAATTAATTTTAACGAAGTTGTTTTCAAATAAAACAAAAACAACTTTTTTTTACAAGAAATAAATCGGTGCATTTGCGTTATATTTTCTTTATATTTAACAATTAATTCAAAACATGTTTATGTCCAGTATCAGTATGATTATAGAGCATCACAAAAAGCTCAGCTTTTTATAAAATAAGTAAATATGATGATGAAAATAAAATTGCTTTATTTCTGAATTTTCAAAGCTAAATATAGTGAATAAAAAAATTGTTTTAAAAAATATTATTTTAGTGTTGCCGAAACCCGGGATTGAACCGGGGACCTTTAGATCTTCAGTCTAACGCTCTCCCAACTGAGCTATTTCGGCCCATAGTACCTGCTTGGCAAATGAATCATATAATGATCCGGCACTGTTTAGAACAACCCTACATTTAAGTGCTGGCAGCAATTGCAATACTGACGCAGTGGAAATTGATTTGAATTTAATAATAGGTTGTTAAAGTGTCTATCGGACATTTCAATTACAAGCCAAATAAGAATCGTGCCCCTATGAAACTGTTTAGGGGCAGAAAAACGTCTGGAGTTTCATTTTACCTGTAAAATGGGACACGACGAGGAGCTTACAGCGGAGCAGATAGATTTAAATATATCGCCATTGTCCGGGGCCTTTGGGCGGACTTGGAACTCGTTTTGCGCCACCAGTAGCATTCACGGTCTGAAATACACTCGTGATGAGGACACAAATCGCATTGTACGCTTTGTATGGATTCTTATTTCGCTGGTCATGTTCATATGTGCCATTATCATGGTACATACCTTCTACATCGATTATCGGAGTAACCCCACACGCATGAATGTCGAGAACGACCATACGCCTGTGACGACCATCTACTTTCCACCCGTAACCATCTGTCCGGAGGTTCTCTTTAACACGCAACAGTCTAAGGCTTTTCTGCAAACCCTGTGAGTAGTTTGAGTGTTCATTATAATTGGATGTCTGTTAATATATACAGTTGCCCACAAGTAAGTTGCCAGATGCGACGCAGGTGAAAAACATTTTAGATCTACTCCACATCTTTCACGGATTTATGGTGGATGACAACCGCTACTCCCAAGCAGATACTGACCTGTTGGAATCGGTGCTGGCTCTGAATAATCTGACAATCGAACAATTTGTGGATAGGATGCTTTGGAACTGCAACGATTTGATCCATCGTTGTCGATATCAGGGGATAATTGTCGACTGTTCCCAGCTATTTCAGCGCTCAAAGACGTTCTATGGCCACTGCTGCTCATTCAATCTGAGACAGTTTGGGTGCGTAAATGATTCGCAGTTCGTTTTCAGAAAATGATTCCACACTAACAGCCTTACAGACTCAATTTTACGGCTCGCTACGCGGCCGGTGGCTTGGAAAATGGGCTCTCATTAGTTCTACGCTACAAGGACGATAGCTACGATATTTTAGAATCCTATTCCAATGGTTTTAAAATGCTTATGCAAGAGGCACTCACATACCCCAGCGCCCACTCTCTTATTAAGTTCATGCCCCAGAACACTGAAGTATTTGCAGCGGTGCGTCCAGAGGAGACCTTCTGCTCGAGTGCGGTCAAGGCTCTGCCAATCGAGGAACGCAACTGTGTTTTCCAGGATGAGGTCAAGCTGCGTTACTTTCGCAAATATATGTATATCAATTGTGAACTTAATTGTCGTGTTACAAACATGGTCAAGTTCTGCGGCTGCTACACGTACTTCTTTAACTTAAATCGCACCAACGAACGTATTTGCTCATTTCGAGATGTTCACTGTCTTGTAGAAAACTTTGGTGTGTATTGCTATATAATTGTCAGTATCGGCTTGAAAAGTTTCCAATTTTTCCACAGACAAAATCATAACCCGAAGGCGTCAAACTCAGTGCAAATGTCCTTTAATATGCGAGCACATTGATTACGACGTCCAAACTACAAGCACGCCGCTTGAATTAAATATCCCAACTGTCGATCCTTTTTAGTAAGAATTCAACATTTTAAAGTTGCCAATAAATTATATAATATGCTACCATTTCTTAGTGAAGGTCTTGAGAAGGATGATGCTGTTGTTCATATTTTTATGAACTCGCAAATCTATCGACGCGTGCGCCTCGATCTGCTCTCAAATATGGTCACACTAGTGTGTAAGTCTTAACTATTTAAAAGTTAGAAAGATTGTTTAACACACTAAGGAAGCGATGGAACAAACTTTTTTTTAGTTTCTTCAACTTTGTAACTTTATTTAGCATTCAAAATCGATTTTAAAACAAGTATTTCCCATACCCGAATGAAGAAATCTGAAGTTGAAAAGTATGAAGATTTTCAAAGAACTCTACAAACTCAATCTTAAACAGTTATTTTCTAGCTGAGAACATATTATATAATATGTGGCTTTTAGAGAAAGTTATCAGAAAATATTGCGACTTTAAATGAAAGTAAATCTATTTTCTTCGACAGCAAATCTTGGCAGCGCCTTCAGTCTCTTTGTCGGCATGAGTATGTTGTCCGTTGTGGAAATAATCTACTATTTCACAGTAGTGCTGCACAAGAATTACGTGTTGGAGCAGCAGGCCAGAGCTAGGCTTAAGCTTCAAGTATTTCGCCAGAAGTTCAAGGTACCCAAGCACGGAATGCAAAATAATTGAACGACCACCTACGGTGAAGACATTTTCATAATTTATAAGTATATTTTATTTAATCAGTCCGCTGGCGATAAGAAACGTGCGCCACATCACCTTTAACTTCTGCACATCCACATTTCGAATGAATCATAAATAATAATTTGAGTTTAAAATATGATTGTTGCTTGTGGACATGTCAAATAAGCCTACACTACATCATATAAATATTTTGCCAATGTGCCGGCTCATGTCATTTTGTTTATCACCTTTGCTTATCACAGGGAACGTAAATGCGTTTAAGGACTCGTATTAGTGCACTGTCACAAATTGTTTATTCAATTTTAATGAATCAAACTGTTATAAGGTTAGGTTAAATAAAATAAATATCAAACACAATATACAAATGAGTTTTAGCGTTCCCATGCATGTCAATACAAAACGTTGGACATTTTAAAATGTTTGTAAATCTTTACCAGAGAGAATATCCAGCTTCGTAGACTGTCAGAAATCTTTTACAATCAATGTGAATTCAATAAGATCAAAAATGTGTCTGAGGTCAGCATACCAGATAAGCATAGACACCCTTAAAAACACTGATCATAAATTCGCATTTAAACAGGGGGGGTGTAATAAATTTGCGACAAACCTGATTTTAGTGATGCGCTGCGTAATTCCCCCAGTGATAAGATTGCCCCATGGAGCGGCGAGTGTAATATAAAAGCAGCAAGCCCAATAGCCTTCCAACACAGTCAGTCGATTAAAATGGCGAAGCTAGCTTTGTTTATCCCCTTGCTTACCGCATGCCTAATGGCTACCGTGGCAAGGGCACAGCATAATCCTCACTGGTGGGGCAACCGCAACACCATCGTTCATCTCTTCGAATGGAAGTGGTCTGATATTGCCAATGAGTGTGAGAATTTCTTGGCGCCACAAGGCTATGCTGGCGTTCAAGTGAGTCCCGTTAACGAGAACATCATCTCTGCGGGTCGTCCCTGGTGGGAACGGTATCAACCTATTTCCTATAAGCTTATCACACGCTCCGGCAATGAGTTGGACTTTGCCTCTATGGTCAGGCGATGCAATGATGTGGGAGTACGCATCTATGTGGATGTTCTGCTCAATCACATGTCCGGAGACTTTGAGGGCACTGCTGTTGGAACTGGCGGCTCTGTAGCTGAGCCCAGCAAGAAATCCTTCCCAGCTGTTCCTTACACAGCTGCTGACTTTCATCCGAGCTGTGATATAACCGACTGGAACGATCGATTCCAAGTACAGCAATGCGAACTGGTGGGTCTGAAGGACCTGGACCAAGGCAACAACTGGGTCCGCACACAACTCATCGCGTTTCTAGATCATCTGATACAATTGGGCGTGGCTGGTTTTCGTGTGGACGCGGCTAAGCATATGGCGGCCAGCGATTTAAAGGTGAGTTTAATTTTATATGTAAACAAGAAAACAGTATTCGGCTTCGTTCAAAAATGTTTTATATAACGTGTCTAAAATTTTATTATAGCATTGTTATGGAAACGAACATTTAAGCTTATTCCATATTCGTTTTAAAAACCACGGAAATTTCAATATTTACATGTAGATTTAACTATTTTTACCATCGATTTTGCACCATCGGTGTTTTGGTACAAATGAAGTGTGCACACTTAAATTTTAAATTTAATATTAAAATATTAAATTTAAAGTGTGACGATATTAAATCACAAGTGATAATGTGGGAACGTGGGTTTGATTCACGCCAAAGCTTTATTTTTTACAATTATAAAATATTTTTTCCACTTTTCTGTACTATGCAACTTTTTTATCAGTGTACTATATATTTGGATTTTCGGATAGTAATTTTTACACTGTTCGTTTCCATGCCGGCAACAAGTTTTTAATGTTATAAAGCCATATATGTTTGGCAATTAACATGGTCTGCGTATGAGGTAGCGATGAATGCAAATTTCTTGAATTTACTACAACAACTACATATGTATAGTCAACATTGATCCGAAATTTTGCAGTTTATTTACGACAATGTGCGAGACCTGAACACGGATCATGGCTTCCCAAACAACGCGCGTGCCTTCATCTTCCAGGAGGTTATAGATCATGGGCATGAGACTGTGTCACGTGAGGAATATAATCAATTGGGTGCGGTCACTGAGTTCCGCTTCTCGGAGGAAATAGGCAAGGCGTTCCGTGGTCACAATACACTTAAGTGGCTGCAAAGTTGGGGCACCGCCTGGGGCTTCTTGCCCTCGGAGCAAGCATTGACCTTTGTGGACAATCACGACAATCAGCGCGACAGTGGTGAGGTTTTGAACTACAAGTCGCCCAAGCAATACAAAATGGCCACCGCCTTCCACTTGGCCTATCCCTATGGCATAAGTCGCGTTATGAGCTCCTTTGGCTTTGATGACCGCGATCAGGCGCCCCCACAAGATGCCTCCGAGAACATCATCTCCCCCCAGTTTGATGTGGAGGGAGCATGCACCAATGGCTGGATATGTGAGCATCGCTGGCGGCAAATTTACAATATGGTCGGCTTCAAGAACGCCGTACGCGGCACTGGGCTGAGCAATTGGTGGGACAATGGCGACAATCAAGTCGCTTTCTGTCGTGGCTCCAAGGGCTTTATCGCATTCAACAACAATAATTATGACCTGAATGAGACGTTGCAAACCTGCCTGCCTGCTGGCACCTACTGCGATGTCATTTCGGGAGCCAAGTTGAACGGCGCATGCGCCGGTAAGTCAGTCACTGTGGATGGCAATGGCTATGCACACATCAGCATTGGAGCCAATGAGTTCGATGGTGTACTTGCCCTGCACGCTGACGCAAAATTGTGAAACGCAGAGACGATGTATTTATAATAACGACATAAATGATTCGGTTTTATTTTTTTAGTTTTGTCTTCCCCAGATAACATACTTGTACATGTAATAAAAACGCACATTAAAGTATAATTTGGCTAAACAAATATTGCAGCACTTTTGTGCAACTAATGATGGATATAACCTACAAATATCTGCATACATATGTATATACTATATAGTATAAGGTATATGGGTATATATAAGTATGTATAGTTTCGATTGTACAATATCGATAAAAAACAACACACAAACGTCAAAAACTTTGAAATGCAAAGTAAAACTTGAACATGAACTTCATTTAGAATTTGAATTATTGTTAAGACTAGCAAATGCGTTTCTTGTTGGGACTTAAAAACCTATTTTATCCTCAAACTTGATGCATCGTTGAACTATATTTTTCCTTAAGTATTCATATATATGTATGTATAGATGTATGTATATATCCTACAATAATAACAATGTTTTTGGCCACGCGTGCATCCACGTTGTCCTCAACAACACAATCTCCATTGTCTCCACTTTCAGTATCGTTGCCGCTGGTGCGGTAACTTGGCTAGGATTGTGGCTTAAACATGTCTGCAAATAGAAGAAAGTCGCATTGTCAAATTGTAGTTGTGCCTCACAATTAAAGCAGCGTCAGCTTCTTCTTTAGAGCATTCACAGGCAAATGAAAAACGACTCAAAAACGAGTACTTTCGCTTAGCACTACTATTTAAAGCGTTTGTGTTTTAGTTTAAAACAAGCAACTACAACTTAAAATTGCAACAGTTTCTACTTGCATTCATGTTAATAGTAAGTATAATATAGGTATAAATAGGTATATATGGTATGTATGTATATATATGTACTTATAGAAGAGAGCTGCATGAATGCCTACTACTATAACATTCTTTTGAATTAAATCGAGAATAATTTTGGGTTTCAATTACAACCACACTGAGCATTACTAAATAAATGTTAATAAATTAAATACGCCATCAATGAGTTCACTATGTAGTTTTATTTCTTTTATTGCCCTAAGCTTCATGAGTTGAGTTTTCGAAATTTTCGATTTAAAAAATATTGTGTAGTTTCTGATAACTCTTAAAAATCAGAAAGTGTTTTTTTGTATTAAGCTTGGAACGCAACGGACTCATGCAGGTCTCTGGCATAAGCACAATCATACATACATACGTACATACATTTGTTTCTTCGAAAGAGATTTGTATAAAAATTTTATCATATTTTATACCATACATAGTAAATGTAAGCGATGTATATATATATAATGTTTATATATACACATACATAATTAAATTAAATGCGTTTTATGCGTAAATACCTGTAAGTTGATGATATCATTTTCTTCTTAAGAGTATTATAAACAGTACATATTTTATAAATAATGATGTAGATGTAACTTAATTCTGAATTAGATTTTAGTTAGTAGTTGTTTATTGACCGCTTCAATTGTTTTAACTCAAGTTTTCACCACAGCACAATGCTATTTTAAATTTGCAATATTTTTTAATGAAATGTTTGCTTCTAAGCGTGCCTGTTGAGACTTTATAAATATTTTTGAAATTATTACATAGCGGCACAATGTTTTATTTTAAGATTTAAGTACGGCCCCAAATCCAGCTTTAAATTTACATTTAATTAATTGATTTAAATGTATAGATCTTGCTCTTTTTTCAATGTTATTCATTAGATTTCTTATAAGTATTATACGAATTATTTCAATTAGAACTCAACTTTTAGCAATTAGTTTATTTTAACAACATTGTTTAACACTATATACTTTATCATACAAAAATTTGTTGTATCTATATAACAGGAACCACGTAAAAATGCGCACACATTGGCTTATAATATTAATAGCACTAACATTAGTTATTAGTTAATCTTTATATAATTCTGTATGTATACAAATGAGTGTGGCTCATTTTTTTAAACATTAATCAGGTAAATCGTGGGAGGAATTATTGTTTCAAATTTGTAGATCGTTATAGAATATTTGAACGTTTTCTGTTATTTGAATTCTTATTAATATATAGTATAATGAATATTCTTTGTGAATTAAGGTGACATTTAGACGCGCATTTAATTAATACTTATTAGTTCTTAAAATTTGATTACCTTTAAGACTTGCGTGGTTTTCAATAAATCGTAGCAGCCCAAAACACTTAAAATTGTGTAAAATTGTTGCGTTCTCGTAGAGTTTCAAAACGGCCTAAAAACCAGAACCATTTTATAAAGTTTGATATACGCTTTGATGGCTTACTTACTTATATACATAATTGTAATCATACGCATACAAAAGTTACCCAACAAGTTATCGTACAAGAGATACAAGTTAGTTCTAGCACATACAAGTACACATATGAAGAAACACTTGTGGATTATATAACATTTAGATTGTCAAAAATTGTATTTGCGTAGAAAAATATTACTTCAATATTGCTGTGATGAATTTGACTTGCACTACCCGCTCTATGGCGAGTAACAGACTCTTGTATTTTTGAATTTCCTTCATAAGACAGTATGAGGTTTTAACGGTGGTGTGTGGGCTAAAGTGTTTTTTTTTTCTAGCTAGCTATTTTTTAAATTCCACCTGTATTAATATGTCGATGAGCAGCGAAAAAGCGATAGTCCTACTAATAGTTTGTGATATAGTATAAATATACAAGTATGGGTTTATGATGAAAGAACATTTCAGAAAGTTAAACATTTACTTTTTTTCTTCCTATTACTCTGGGGGTAAGGTCCAAAGTCAACTGCCATATTCAACTGCCTGCGTCAAACTTGCCGTAATACCTAACGCGATAGCACAGTTCACATCACTATCTTACAGAAAATCAATAGCAGCTAATACTGCGATGCAAAAAAGCTTTAGGTTCACGCTAGAAACTAACGCCTTCTGGCTCTAACGGCTTATCGACGATAATTTGGACAGGTTAACTTGGTTCCATGGAACAGGGACCTATCATAAAAAATTCAAACACAATTTCACCTTAGGGCTATGCTTAATTAGAAAGCGTCTTGCTTACATTGCTTTCCTTTAAGAAATTGCCTAACTACGGACTGCTTTACAGCGATCGTCAAAATTATTTCTATCTAGAATATTATGATATGCGCATCTGCGACCCGTCTAAGGTCGCCTAGAAGCTTTTGCCTGCATCGTGAATACGTTTGCGACGACTGTCTCGACGCCTATAGCGATCAATAATTCGTGATCGATGTCTTTCCGGACATAACGCCTCGGGTGAACTGTCCACTTTTTTCATCACAATGCGAAAGGTGAAGGTGTGTTTGGGTGAGGCGCTGGCCGCACGTCGCGGCGAAGGTGGCTCAAATTCACTGCCGCTGGAAAAACCGCAAGTTGTGGACGCACCACCAACCCCAGTTGGTCCGACAACGGCACTGTTCCCAACTGCACTGGGTATACGGGGCGTGCCATTTGTGTAGCCTGATGGTGTGGACATGGATCCGGTGGAGAGCTGTTGTGTCAATACTGAACTGGGTCGCGGTTCAAAAATGGAAGCGCAACGCTGATCCGTGCACAGGAAGGTTTTCACCTCTTCCTCGCGTTGCTTGATTGTAAGGGGGAAGTGCTTCTTGGTGGGATCAGCATAGGGACTGCGCTGCGGCTCATGGCTATGTGCTGAGTGTGGGTAGGACGAGCTGGAGTCGTAGCTGTCGCGCGAGCTATAGTTAGAGGAGGTCTGTTGCGAAAGGGGGCTGCGGGCGCGCGAGAAGGCATTGAAGGGTGAAATGTGTAACGAACGAAAAGTTTCGGTCTTCTGTTTCTTAGTCATTGGAAAGTTCGGAGAGCGCGCTGGCGTGATGCCGCTCGCTTCCGAAGGCGTATAATCAAAGTGCGTCTCAAGTGAGGACTTGCGGCCGCAGGAAGAGCCTGAACGTTGAAAAGTTTCAGCGTCCACCAGCTCAATGGAGGACTTGCGCAAATCAACATGTCGCTTGCGCTCATCTGTGTCGACAATCTCGAAACTAGAGGTCTGATCCTCGTAGCTGGTGGATTGATATCGTGATATTGATATGTCAAAGCTAGTATCGCGCGATGAGTAGGGACAATCAAAGCTGGACTCTGCGCGGCTAGACTTCCGATCGCCTTCAACCATCTCGAAGCTATCGCCGCCAGAATCTAAACGCTGTAAATTGATCAGGTCCGTGTCTGTATCACCGCCGGGACTGCGCAGGTTTTCAAGAAAAGGCGAACGCGGTGGATCAAAGGAAGAACGTCGCGAAGGCGGTTCAAACTCAATAGTAGGACACTGCAGCGGTTTATTTTGTTTCTCGGGCGGTGATGCGGCCGCCGCTGCAGCTGCAGCCTCAACCGCGACAACCTCTTCTGTTTCACGCCGCAGTACCTGCAGATTTACATAAACTGGTTCTGGCGGATAGGCTTTCAAAATCTCTACGAGCTCAACGCGAAAATCTTCGGGTATGACCAAATCATTGGAGTCTGATTCACGTTCTTCGCTAATGCGTGGTTCAATGGGCTCTCGACTTTCGGACCGACGTGTGAAATGATGCGTAATTGGTGCCCCGTCGGTAGTGAGAGCCACTACCTTCAGAGAATTAGTCACCTCCTCTACGAACTGGGCCATTGCTACATCCTCGGTGTTAACCGTAGTTATTTCTGTCTGTTCTTCAGTTTCCACTTCTGTTTCGATCGCTGGCTCGTCGATCTCACGCAAACGCTCATGCTTGATATAAGACTCACCTACCTTTTCAAAGTGCACATTCGCCAATTCGAATGGTAGATCACTTAACGGTGAAGCACGTCCGGAGGTACGACCTACCTGTGGGTCTAGATTGCCCGCATTGGAATCTGCGCTGGCTCGCTTAGAACCGGCTGTCGATGTACATGGCTGCTGTTGTTGTTGCTGCTGCTGCTGCTGCTGCTGTTGTTGTTGCTTCTGTTTTTCCTCCTCTTCACGTCGTGCAGATCTTCGTAGCTTCAGCGACATTTTCGTGTAGTGTGCGAATTTCGATGACATCTTCGGTTCGAAGCCAACTTCGGACATTTGCTTGACAACGGCACTTTTTGCGGCCGTCGACGAAGCGGCCGGACTGGCCGAAAACGTGCTCTGACGTATGAGCGGCCCACTAGACGAGCCGGATTCGGCTCGGGTGAAGGCATTGGCAAAGCGGTTGGTGCGAGTGGAAATGTGCTTCGATGGTTTACGCACAAATGCCAAAATCTCGCGCATCACGCTTGTACGTTCCTTCTTCTCTGGCTGCGTCTGCCCCTCCTTCTCCTTGTCGCGCAAGGCCGCCGCCTCTTCTTGTCGCTCTCGTTCACGTGCCGCCTCCGCAGCAGCACTTTTATACGTCTCTGCAGGATTAGATACCGTAATTGGTGGAATAGGTCCTATGGGACTACGCTTGTCTCCGCTGAAATATATGGGCGTGAAGAGATTTATTGAAGGCCTCTTTATTCCCACAAAACCCGTCTCTTCCGGTTCCGTTGCCATGTCCTGTACGTGCACCGTCGACGTGGGACTACGTCGCGAAGTGGCTGTTTGGCACCCGAAATCTGTGGGTGCAGCCGCACCCAACGGCGAACGGCGTTCCTGGGTATGAATGCTGAACGTTGGACTGGTGCGTCTGTCTCCGGTGGGACTGCGAGCCGTTGGACTGTTTGGGGACTTTAGACCACTGCTGGGGAAGAGAGGACTGCGTTTGCCTTGTGGACTGCGATCGTTTAGGCCCACTGGACTCCGTCGACCTTGCGAGCTCACCGAAATGGCAAGCTGTCCGCTATTTTTTCGTCTCGTAGACGCTCGAAGCGTTCCCTGGCGGGATAATGTTGTGATTGTTTTCTGCGAAGCGCTTCCAGGACTTTTGGATTCGGGTTGTGGTAGTATAGGGCTCTTGGGTGTGAGGGGGCTACGCTTTTTATCACCGTTGGCGATCAAGGTGTTGAGTGTTAGACCCGTAGTTGTCGACGCATTGGGACTACGCCGCTCGGAAGGGCTGCGACGAGTCCTAAAACTTTGTGACTTAGCCTTGCGTATCTTGGGAAGGGACTGATGGTGACGATGGCGACCAGAGGCGTGCGGCTGTTGCTGGTTGGAGGAGGAGGAGGGGCCGTTCAACTTATGTTAGTTGCTGTGATGCGGGCCACTGGTGGGATCGCTGCTGCCGCTCGAGCTCAAAGTTGTATTCGAACCGTAAGGATCAAGCGAACTCTGCACGGACATCGAACGGCCCTGGTTCTGGCGGGCGCGCCTTACTCGGCTAGAGTTGGGAGACAGCTTTCCGGGGTCGATGCTTTCTGGGTCTGCCTGCAATTTGTAGAATCAGACATAAAGGGGGACAACAGGACAATGGACGATGGGCGGCGCAACAGACAGATAAATGATATAGCATGAATGATACTGAGTTAAACACCAACGAAGCCAAACAACAATTAAGCAAACATCGACCACAAAACGCACCTGGTAGGCCAGCGCATTCATGATCATTGAATAGGGTACCAGACCAAGAGGATGAATCTCACGCATAAGCACATTGGCGGGAATTTTATGAAACTGTATATACTCCAGAAATGTGCCCAGTATTTCCTTGATATCGATGTTCTGTCGGTTTAAGTAAAAGTTATTTATTTATAGAAAGCTGTTTTATTTTTGAATTACTTACCGGGTTATTATCGTAATACTTCTTACTCCACATAAGCGCAGCCTGAAACTTGGTGAACTCATCCGCTCGTAACTCTTCACGTGCCAAAATTAAACGCACCACGTGCTGCGGGAGCAGTGTAAAGCTGCCCAAGTTAAGAACCTCATTGCCATGCTCATCGACAAACTCTAGAACCTTCTGCACCAGCGTCTTCGTGCACTTATACTGTATATAGCGCTCGGCTGATGCCAACAGGGCGCACACCGTGTCCACGTTAATGCAGCATTGCACAAAGCCAGCGCAGGCACGGCGCAGCTCCTCAAGACCATAGTAATCGGCAGCATTCATCACCCCTATGGAGTGAAAAATGAGTAAATAAAATACCACACATCATCCGTCATTTACATACCCAGAAGGGTGCGAGGTTGCAATGTAACGCAGCCAGTATGAATGTATTCGATAAGCTGGCGAAAAACATCCGGCTCGAATTCCTCGATAATCAAGGTCTGATGTTGCTGACCTGAGGGCTGCAAAAACATCGCGCCAAATTGATAGTACAAAAATAATATGCAAAGCAGGTTAAAGCAGATATTATATAGTAGTGGGGAAATATATAGTAAGTAGACAATAAGTGCTGTTTAACCATTAATCAGTGAATTACAATATTCATATTTGTCTGCAATACAATGAAGAGTCAGAACATGCGTTATGAACAGATAATGGCATCAATGCAGGAAACTAAGACAGATTTAATATTCTAAAATTTCTGCACTTTGCTCATTCAGAGGTTAAACAGAAACATGATTAATATACCAGTTATTTGAAATTAAAATTAAACAAACTGCTTTACTGCTACATCGACTGCAACATGGCTTCGCAAAATAAATGAAATAAAACATACCTACATATTTATATTTTTAATTGCCGCATACTTCATTTCAATAGAAGCCAATTTTAAATACGAGACCAGATTATTTGCATGCTTGCCTTGGCTAGCAATGGTTTTTACTATCATTGAAGAGATCATATAGAATAGAAATAGCAACATGTTCTGACTACACTTTAAAAAATACCATACATATTCTTTAAATATAGTCAAAACACACATTAAGATATGATTCTAAAATGATTACAAAGACTTTATTTAATATCTCTAGGACAGAGTTACACAAAGTATGCCAATAATTACTTTATTTAAACTTTTTCATCTGTTTTAAAAATTATGAAAAGCAATAAATTGATAAATTTATGAAGATTACAAGCACAACCCTAATCTTCATCTAGGGGAAAAGAGGACATAGAGCATAGATTCACACACAGCCAGTTACAATAGCTACACAACAGAGAGACACACAAAGCTTTGGACAGCACTGCTGCCATTTGAACTTGCTTGGATTACTCAGTGATTACCTCGGGTATCGGAGCTAATTGTTGGGTGAAACCGGTTCTCTAAGATTAATACCAATTTTGGGTTTCAAGAGTGTGACAAAAAGTTACAACAGAGAAATATATAAAAAATAATTTACAATTTTATTAATCAATTTTGGTTTTCGTATTTACAAAAATTGCGATACAAAATGGTAAACAAAGTACATATTATTTTACAAAATAAAAGTATAAAATAAAATCTTCACACACGCGCCACAAAATATTATAAAATATACGCACACACACACACACATCTATTCCACATTCCCTGTCCTTTTACCCGTCTGGGTAATCGATTATGAATGACTGCGGTACATACCTGTTGTGCGGCATTTTGTAGATTCAACAAGGGCTCCGAGGAGCGTTTCAGAAACAAGCGCAACTTGTTCTCCTTGGTCGAGGTCTCGCGTTTGCGTTGCGGCGATGGCGCAGCGTACAACATTTTGGCGAATACGCGGGAACGAGAGGCAAGCACAGCCTAAAGGATGCAGAAAAGGATGAGGGAAGAAAACGAGAAAGAGGAGAGGAGAGTAATATTACAGCTTTTGTAATGCTGCGTTGAATACGCAGTGACCTGATTTAGACACACGTCGATGCTCACACCCATACCAGAATAGCGACATCGACACACACACACACACCCACACACACGTACCTTGACGGCGCACACGGGCTCACGTGTGTCGCCCACGAGGAAGGTTACATCACAAAGCTCCGGCATCGATGCCAGAAACTTCATGTCCTCGGCGAGCCCTGTTTTGTTCTCGAACGTTGATAAGTCCGGCTCTGCGTCAGCCATACCAGGTAGAATCAATGCCTCGGGCATTTGTGTTTACTGCAAAGAGACGCATGTTGACTTAACGCTTTAGGTTGTTTCCACAAGCAGTGTACCAACACTGGTGGGGTTGGTGGGGGGTGTTGGGGCTTATTAATTTAATTAAAAGATGATAAAAATAGCTATGCTAGATGTTATATAAAGGGAAAAGTAGGAAAGACCTAAGCAAATACCACGACCACGTAAATACTTTAAAGCCACAAAGACTTCAAAGTAATTAAATTCAAATTGTGAGCAGACAAAACGAACATCAACCGTTCGCAGAGGTAAGCTCCACATGCCACACACACACACACACACACACACACACACATACACAGAGACACACTCTTGCTGCTCTGACTGTGCGGTGGTGCGTGTCAGTTTGTCTGTAGCACCTGCGGGGACTGTCCTTGAACAGAACTGAAAATAAATTACAATTGCAAAATGCTGACTGCGACTACAGGCCACGCGAGCATCGATGGCGCTGGGAGAGCAGAAACATTGACAATAGGAAATTGAAATAAAAAACTGAACAGATGCCACTTCAGTACCTTTGTGTTGACTTTTGGGGAGGGGGGATTGTTGGAGCTGCCGCAAGAATTGTTGCATACTTTCAGGGTTAGTGGTTCTATTTTAAGATTGTGTGTCTGTGTGTATGTGTGCGAGCAAACTGCATGCAATAAAGGAGCACTTGAGTTGCAACAAGTTTACAAGTTCAGAAAATATACACATACTTACAAGAGAGAAATTTCTTAAAGGGAAAATATATAAAGCGATAGTCTGTTACCTGAATTACTTGTATAATAGGCGCGCCTGAAATAACACTTAAGGTTGGCTAACTAGCAAATTATTTGACAAATAATATTAGTTTTGATGCAACCGTTAAGTTAAAAATCAAAAGCTGCCATAAACAATCCATCGACACCAAGCCAAACATATGTATTTAAACATTTCAGAACATTTAGATTCCTCCACCTCTGTTCTCTTAAGTAAGAAAATGTTGTCAAACGAATACATAACGAGACACTAATGGCGAATAAATAATAAATGCTTACCTGTTGCAATTTTAAATATTTTCGTTTCTCCGCACTTTCAAGTAACTAACTATAAACGGATTTCGACACGTCGAAAAAATCCGTCAACCGCTTAATATTAAATCATTTTGACTGCAAATTTGAATTATCGAAAGTTTAGCCAGCGAATTAAATAAATTGAGAGTATAAATTCAAGACACATTTACATTATTTTACAGCATAAGCAATGAGAAAAGTGTATTAAAAAATGCGTGAAAGTAAATAAGAAACGGAGGAAAAAAGAAGAAAATTCGTATCACCATACAACATGCTCTCCAAATTGATTTTATACACTTGAAAATCGACAATCTGTCTTGTGAAGGGTGCGTGGGGTGAAGTGTTCCAAATTCTGTACTACGCATAAATTAAAAAAGCTAAGAAGAAGATGTGTTTGTGTGTGCGTTTGTGCATGTACTCCTATATACAGCATGTATGGGATTTTAAATAATGACCAAAAAAAAATTGGTTTAAATTTCTTTGCACGCCAGGAAGGCACACAATTTGAAAAAAAAAAAAACGGGACCAAATTAAATGGCTTTATTGTGAGAATTACTTATTCTTTTTTGGCGTTGCGGTGTCTGAAAATTCAACTCTTTGGCCTTGCGTCGGGCAAGTGTTACTTTCACTTTTCACTTGAACGTATTTGCTTTTGTATGTATTTGTGTGTTTGAAGCAACAAACAGAAAAGAAACACGTATATAATATATGTATTCTATATACAGGCGTATACAAAAACCAAATGCAAAAAGCAATTATATTTGATGATAACGCCACTACAAATGATGAAATAAATTACAAATGTTTTTCAATTGCTATTCTGTTTTTTTTTTTTTTTGTTTCGTTTTGTCTTTCAATATGCACTAAACGAATTTGGCTTTTATTTTTTCTCTATCTGCAAACTCTCACACAGACAGACAAACGCACACACAGCCCAGTTGCCTCTGCTTTTCAAGCGCAATAAAATGAAATGAACCGTTTCGTACGAAGCACAGCGACGTTCTGCACACGCAGCACACAAATTTTATTCGCATCATAATTATTTTGTGTACATCAAAAGGAGTTTCCTTCTAAATGTCAGACAGCTTTCTCGCAGCGACGCCAACAGCACCAGTGCAGAACAACTGCGCATGTCCTGCCCCAATCGATCCAGTCGTCTTGACGATGCGGGACTGGGAAGGCTCCTTTTGGTCACCGAGACGCCTGGCGCCAAAAGCAGTCAACAGTTTGCCGCGTGTACGTGGCGAGAACAACGTGTCCTGTTTAGCGGCCACTTGTTTGCGTGCGGTCACAGACTGAGCCAATGCGCATGTCGATGTAAACATAAACAAACCGCTCCGTTTGACAATTTTCCTTTTGACACTTGACAGCTGCACCTTCAGTAGCAGACGCCTGGCTGTGTTTATTGTCGCCTTCAACAACTCTGGCGTCGGGTTACCACGCGCCGCAATTCAAAACATCTGTAGAAATATAACCACCAAATAACCACACAGCCATACATTTAAATGCGAGTATCCAATCCGCTTGCATTAATATAAATGTAATGGGAAAATATTGCATCTTAATCCCATAACTAACTACCTTTTCAAATTACACTTTTCGAAGATAAATCAACTATTAAAGATTCAACAGACCTATCTCTCACAGAATTCAATAAAAATTCGACACCCCCAGTAATATTTCAACAACACTTTCTTGCCCTTAAAGCTTCATACGCTCATTATAATTTCACATACACAGACTGTTCTAAAACCAAAGATGTTACAGGTTATGCAATCTCATCAGAAACAGAATAAATCCACTATGGGACTCTACCCCATCACTCCTCCGTATTTTCAGCCGAAATCATAGCAATCCAAAAAGCATTCGCAATATGTTTATTAAAACCAGGGAAACATGCAATATGTTCAGACTCACTTTCTTCCCTTATTGCCATAGCCAACTTCGACAACCACCATTACTATCCTACCACAATCAGATCAATATTACAACACAAATTCCCTAAAATAAAACCACAAGAATGTTACTGGAAACGAAACAGCAAAACTGGCCACAGCTCTTCCTCTTATTTACACCCCCAACTACAATTCCTCCGACATAACCCTAGCTCTAAAAAATTATTTTACTCTAAAACAAGCGTCTCGATTCAACCAAACATCCTATTGGTACCAGCAAAGCAACGCTGACAATTTATCTCTCCTTGACCTGTACAATAACAATCCGCAAAACCTCCTATCAAAAGCAGAACAAATAAAACTTAATAGAATTCGCCTTGGACATACCGCATTAAGACATGGACTAAACTCTATCTAAACACTGCGCTTTCTGCAATAACGCGCTAATAAACATTGCACATATCCTCACCTCATGCCCCACACTCCTACCATATAGATTATCTATTTTCCCAAACATTAACCCCATCACCTTAATTGCCAACCCATCAATACATAACTCCAAACTCATATTTAAATATTTAAAAGCCACAAACATTTACCACAAAATCTAAACCCAATCCCCTTACATAATAGTATGTATGTATTCCTACTTTAACAATGGCCCTAGTAGCCATTGCTAACATAAGTTCTCTTCTGCAAATGGGGTTCGATTTTAAAACCAGTTTGTTAGTAACGTTCCGTTAAATATGCATACAATTCTTTAACATCTTTAAAATCATAATATTATCTCATTGAATCGGTTTTAGCAATATGCACCAATTTCAAATACATAGACAGCTGTTCGTTCCATTAACTAATAGACCTAAGGGTACTTTTAGTTTAAAATACTACAGTAAACAGAAAAACAAAACATAATGAAGCACTGTCCTTCTTATAATTAACGATATAGAAAATATAAAGTTTTGTCGACTGCTGCGTTTGCATCAAGTTGTTCGTAAACATTGTCGCTACACATTAACATATAGAATGAAACATGATTCCTTTAGTGACGGAGCTGTTTTACAACTGCTCCTAAATTACGAAAAGCCTGCGCAAATCCCATAGATTTCCAAGTATAAATTAAATTGTATTTACATTTATAGTTTGAATTTAGAAATCTTGACCAATTTCAACTCCATGCGTTTTTTCGCATTAACTAAATTATAATCGAGTGTTGTTTTGAACCTTACTAAGAAATGAAAAAAAAAAATAACTAATGAAGTTTCTCCATTATGGCATAAGGCTGTACTTTAACTAATCTGAACGAAGGAGTGCTCAAAAATCTACAATTCAATAAGAAAATAGTGCTCGATTTGGGTGGGCTCAACTCTTAAATACTCTGTACCCACTTTCATAAAAACAATAAACAAAATATTTGCGTGATAAATTTTTCAGTTAACATTTTTTAAGATTAAACTAATCAAATAAAAGTAAAAAGCTCAGAAATACATAGCACGTACATAGAGTAGCACAGTTTTAAAATTTGTGTCTATCTCTATGTCTAGGCGTGTCTGTGTGCGTGCAATTGTGCAGCATAGAGTTAAGCCATTTGGCTTATCTCTTTGGAGAACCTGGATACTAAGTCGAGTTTTCTAGCTCTAATAATTTCTGATATCTTTGCTTCTATACAAACTGGTGGACATACGGACATCGCTATATCGACTCGTGATTCTTCTGTGTGTTACATTTATTTTCACTTAAATAGTATGTATACCCTTTTCCCATTGGTAGCTACTCAAAATACATATATAGTACTTTCTTTTCGCATATAACGTAAAAATAGTTTCACCAAAGAAATATTTGTATAAGTAGATTGCAGTGCTTCCGTTTTTGCGAAATCCGCATCCCAGGGCGCTCATGCAGCTCATTAATGTATTTTTTCTCAGCTACCACAAACCCACTCCAGGCACAAATACGCGGCTATATAAGACCAGAGTTGCTTGCGAAAAGCTAAAAATAGGCGACCATCAGCAGCCGCTGTCGTGCAACTGCACATAAATCTTGGGGTATGCCTTGATCATGACTGCGAACACACAGATGTGTGTCTGTGTAAACTAGCTTAAACGTATCCCGTAGATACGTTTTCAATTTGCTGCAGTCTGCAGGTAGGCAGCCAATTATTGTCTGCGGTAATGCCACACAATACTCAAGAGGCTGCCGTTGCATTAGCACAGGCGGCGACACTGACGCCGCATCCCCGCTGCGCCCTCGTCGTTTCCAGATATACACGCACAAGTCAATTCGGATCGGGAAACCAGCCACTTGACGCGTCGCCAGCGACAAGCGCAATGAAAACAAACAAATCAAGAACTAAAACAAAAGATACAGATACATTTGTACACACATAGCGGCATCCGCTGCTGCATCCTTGACTCTATGTACAGAGACGATGACGAGCCGTGCGAGCGGCGCTCTGCGCAGACGAGCGGCCGTGAGAAAATCGCCAGAAAGCAGACGCCGACGCAACAATTAGTTTGTCTTTGCCTCTGCCTCTGCCATGCTATATCCATGCCCGATCTCACATGTCAGTTGTTAGTTCTCAGCTGGCAGTTGTTGTTCAACGCTTGTGCGGAGCGTGTGCTTTGCTCGCTTGATTACTACAGATACTCGTAGCTGAGATTTATTTTGCCGCAAATTAAAGTAATTGTGTTTGAATCAACAAGAAAGTGCAAAATATTTCAAGAGCTCTAACAAGACAATACTATTATCTGAAGAGTGAACTATGAAAAAAGTGTTTAATTCTTTCCAATTCGAACCTCGCCAGCGGCACGCGTCCATAAAGTTCACATCCGTCCGTCGTCTGGCAGTCTAAAAATAAAGAGAGCATATTTAGTTGTACGAGTATTTTTCTGAGACACAAACACTGCACCGCAGTGACGCTTTTATGTGCAATTTTCGAACTTATAATTTGCGTATCTTAAACATTTTACGGCCGCGTTTACTGGCACGTATATCGCCTAAGGAAAATATTGTGAGTAAAGTAGAAAATGTTCTTAAATAGAAATTCGCGCCACATCTACATACTCGTCCATGCATACATATATGTATGTATAGGCGTTTCCCAGCCTACGTCTCGATTCGACCTCGTTCCCTGTTTCGTCGCATTTTAATGTTTTTATGTGCCTCTTGTGGTCTTTGACGTCGTCGGTGTCGTCTGCGGCTGTCGCAGCTACGTAAGATGTCCCATCTATATTCGGCATATAGTATAAGCATATAAGTATAAATGTATATAGTGTCGTTCATTTCCGTTTGCTGTGATCGCCGACGATGCTTTTGCACTTTGAATTATTTGTGTACGAATATTCTTAGGTGGGAAGCACTGGGAGGCCGACGATGCAATTTACTTTAATAAATATAGTAAGTGTCAAGTTCCATATAATAGTTAAAAATTTAGGTACAATTTTCCTCAAATTCACAATCACAAATTGAATGTTATTTATTTTATTTTAGACCTGAATATTTGTGGAGAATTGGCAAACAACTCGCCCACCGCCTATATAAATACTTTTTTAATCACAGCAGCTACATACTTACGATCACCAGACTTTGCATGTACACTTATCCAGATTTATTTAATAATATTTATATATTTTTTGAATCGCCCTTACATCAACTGTGCTGTCAATCTGGCATTTCCCTACATTTTTGTTATACCTATAACACTGTGCCGGCATTTCCTTCGGACAAACTTAAACCTACTTTTCTACTTTTGTGAAAACTGGAAGTCTTACAAACCCCGCACTTAGTCTTAATATAGTATATCACTTACTCGGTTTAATTCTGGATCTCAGAGACTATAAGAGGTAGAGACACTAAACCCGCAACAACAACAAATGTTCAAATATTGCCAATGTTGGAAACCTACTTCAAAAATAAATTTAATAAATCGTATTTATCTTAATTGATTAATTACTCTGTCATCGTTATCTTGTTGAAAATGAAGTCCAATTGCAAAAATGTAAACGTATTATTAGCTTTAGCACAATCTAACGAACACAAAGCTCTAATTCTTGGTGGTCATTTCTTCAATTATAAGCAAGTCGCTGCTTCAATCGCATTATCCTTATACGTGGGTGATGTTTACGAATTAAGCGCAGCTGATTAATATTTCATTTCTTAACAAATTGAGTTTAAGTGCAATCAACAATGCGCAACAAGCATATGGCATACGCACCCACACGCTGAACAGGAATGCCGCAGAATTTAATTACAAATGCAAAAGACGGCAACCAATGCAACAGGATATAGTACTACCCAGCCGACCCGTACGCACACACACACACAAATACAGCGGCTTAAGGACAAGCGTTCCTGGTTGTGTACATGTGTACAAGTATGTATATGACAGAGCGTTGGCATCATGATAAATGCATTTATGTCGCATCCGTGCAACTGATTAGATGAAATTATACACGAGCCAACCATACAGACACACACACACACACACACACACACACATAGACACAGATACAATGATACGCACACACGCACCCGCAACTAGTGAACTTGAGATGATGCCGCACACTGTAGTCGAGGCCATGAAGAAGGTCCAGGGAGGCGGGCTCATCGAGGCCCACTTGTAGTTGCACTTAAGCGCATTGCAGCGCAAATTGAAAAAGGAAACGTAATGCAAGCTAAGCTGACGTACTGCGACCGCAGGGGCCATGGCATTGCCGTTGTCGACGTTGTCATGCCTCCCAGCTAAATTAAATTTCCACCAGTTTGCATTAATTTCCCAGCAGCTGAGCCAACGATAGAGCGCGCCAGTGTGCTCGCGACGACAAAGGCGAGGACGAAGATGACGACCTATCACAAACAGGCCACCCGTACTCGTACTTGTACCCGTATCCGTACCCCTACCCCTACCCCACTCACATCCCATTCAAGCGACCCCTCTGAAATCACAGCTACAGCTACACCAACACCAACAGCAACAGCTTCATGTTATGTTTTGGCTTAGTTTGCTGTCGTTAGTTTTTCCAGTTCTCGCCGATTCCAAATCAGAGTCGGCCGCCATAGCGAGTACTGTGAAAATTTCCTGTGCATTTCTTGTACACTCGAAACACATCGGGCCGCTCAATTTCAGCGCAGGATATTCGTTTAACCTACACCGACGAGTGCTGTGCCATCATCACCATCACCATCGCCATCTCCATCGTTGCGTTGGATGCTGGCACTGGCGCTGGTGCTGTTTCTGCTTCTGCTTCTGTTGATGTTGCAGCTTTGACAGCCCGCACGTAAATTTCCCAACTTCAGTCTTCGTTAGCCGAGCGTCGTGCGCGCAAGTGCCACAAATGCCACAAGCACAAGCGGCGGGTGAACGGATTTTCTAAGAGCAGTTAGCCAGCAGAAAATGTTCTGTGCACAGAAAAAAGTGCAGAAGAGAGGAAAATACAAAATATGATTCTATACAGAAGATGTGAAAAACGACAAGATTGCCAGCAATTTTACGGCAAATGAAAAAATATAAAATATATAATTATATACATATTGCAAACCATGTGAAAAGTATTTGCAAAGTGAAAGAAAATGTGTGCATTATGGTAATGAAAAGGAAAAAAAAAAATATATATATATATATATATATACGCGTTTACATCAACAAATCTACAAAGCTAATAGTTAAAATGTTGTGGAAAAGATTTGGAAATTAACAACCAATTACGAAAAGAAATTGAATTTTGCAGGAAAAATTTAGATGTATATGTGCATTGTTTTCTGCGAATAGACGCTGGGAAATATATCTATGTATCTGTGAGATACGCAAAACAATTTGTCTGCGCCATTAGTAGCACCGCTTTGCTTTACTATGTGGTTGTTCTTGTTCTTGTTGCTGTATGTGCCTAACCATATACATATATTTACATTTAATATGTGATGTACATATACACATACATATATATGTGTACATATATTTGCGTGTGTATCCTGCGCACAGCAGCCGATGCTAGGCTGCGTCGCGCTCCCCACTTTCGCATTGGGGCTGGCTCGATGCCTTTTGTGTTCTGTGCTCGGTTGTCCTTTGCTCTGCGGAGCATTCAACACAAGCACACACATACTATACATAGAGTATACATATATAGCTCAATATTTGTGATGTTGACGCAGCCAGCAGCAGTCTCAGTCGGAGCTTAGGAAACTCATTACTCTTGCTGTTGTTGTTGCCGATGTGTGTGTATCTAAAAAATATACTACATACATATACATATTTGTTCTATCATAGTGTGTGTCTGTATTGGTATTGCTGTTGCTTTTCCAAAACTTAACTAATTTTTGTCTGCAAAATTCCAAATATTCAATTAAACTGAATAATATTTACTTCACACGAAAAATGTATCTGTTATGTAATAATGCTCAACACAGATTTTCCACACCTCCCACATAGTATGTTCTTAATTATCAAGTAAATCCATTTTTGATAATTCCTTGAAATCATCGATAATGCCAAGTTCTCTTTACAGCTCGTTCTATTTCTGGCATTTGAATTGTTTTTCCTCGAATTTTCCTTTCAGCATCTACAGTCAGGATATGTTTGCACCTGAGCCACAAAACTCTCACACACTCTCTGGGGAACATCCTCCGCAATTGCCACAAACACTTCAAAACAATTATTTACATATAGCTCCAAGCCACAATTTTAAATTCAATCAACATAGCTGCATGTCTGTTCAGTGCACATAGCTCTGCATGTTGACAATTTTGTTTGGACAATTTCAATTCTTGGAAACTTATGGTTGAATACCCTAACCACAGAACAGAGGCATTGCCGCAAACAAATAAACCGAGTCCTAATTTATATTTTTACTTTACCAAATTCCGTAAAGAAAATTGTGCTCCTTTTATTCCTTTTTCAAGAAACGTAAACTTGCTTTCCTCTTGCTAGTTAGAAATTCACATTTAAATATACACTTAATTAAAAATGTAGAGGTAAACTTAAAACCTTCAAATAAGATTAAATGACTCCATAACCAAAATAAGAAGATAATTTACTAATAACTAGTTCCATTGAATTTATAAACACATATTTGTTATAAAAGCCAACTAGTTTTTTTCAACTTTTTGATTAAATTAAATTGAAATTTTGTAGTTTTGCAATAACCTTGCTAGTTAAGATAGCTTTGTTTATGGCAAATTCATTTCAAACTAATAAAGAAATTAGTTTATGTAAAAGAATATCAATATATACCAAATCGGAATCCACTCACCTATGCTTTTAACGTTTAACAACAACAAACTTATCTAAAACCAATGAAATGTTGCTTGTGGCAAAACAATAAGCATATGTTAAATCCCTTCTATCCTGCGCTTGATTTAAACCATCTTAAGAGTTCTACAAACAGGGGTTCTGCTTATAAAAGGGACAACTATTATACATAATATTAAAATTTTTCGTTATATACTTGTATAACATTTGAAATTTAACGAAATATAAAAAACGGTCACTCCTTTTATAGTCACTCGTTTCGATGGAGGATACTAAATCATACAAAAAGTCATTTATTTATATCAGACTTTTAGCCTTTTTTCATTTTCTATATTTGGCTCAGTCGCAACTTCTATGTAGTATTTGCATTTGAATAAATAGATAAGAACGAGCACATAATAATTAGCTAATATACTGGTAGTTAATTGATAGTGATCATTCACTTAATATCATTTATAACTGACATTTTTTTGGTAATGGGTGTAGTTTATGTTAAAGAATAGTAAACTTTTTCTTTTATTAATACACACTCGTTGGTTCTCGATGCCATCTAGAGATTAGGCAGTGTCGCAACTATTTGACTACTGTAGCGTCATTAAATACGGACTTTTAATTACAACTTCCGGGCAGGTGCAGGTGGGACAAAATATGACCCCAAGTGCTTACTAAAACACAGATAAACCAACGCATCGGTTGCGGTAGCTACTAATTTAGCCACCGCAGCAAAGCCGTAGAGCAATTGGCAATTTGCAACTAAATCTGAAAAAGGCAAGAACCATGGAAATGCGAACGAGATGCGACGGAAAGCATGCTGATGATCTCGTGTCACTTGAAATGTACACGTGAGGGAGTGTGAGTGTGCTCTTGTGGCTGTGTGTGTGTGTGCTGTGTATCTGTGTGCACTTGTTCGTGTTTTGAACCTAAAAAGTTCGCTTTAGCCAGCGGTTAGAAACTGAGCGTGCAGGGCGAAAGAAAAGGGCAGGGCATGGGACAAAAACTCGTCAGCTCGTCATGTTACTGCTCTCATACATAGCTTCCGCTAGTTGTTAGTTAAACTAAAACTTTGAAACTTTGCACTGAGGTGTCAGCACAGCCAATGCTCTGTTGCAACTTTCAGCTTCAATTGCGTTTCCGTTCTGTGCTCACTCGCTTATTGGTGCGTATACGCACCATAGTACCGAGTTTCTTCTTGCTGGCACTCGTTAGTTACATTTTCGCTTTTATTTTACGAGGCGTGTTGTATTGTGTTGTAGATGTAGATGTAGATGTACACATATATACGTATGTATATACGTGCGTGTATTTACAATTTTGTTTTGTTGTTGCTTCGCTGCTGCCGCAAAAGTTTTACAACTGCGCAGAGGAAGCTACGCCATTTTCTATAGCATACTTAGCGTACTATGAAGTTACACACACACATACACGTACACGCGCACCCAAGCTCATGCAAACAATCATATGTACATACATATATACTCGTTCATACCTAGACCGATGAAAGCTGTTTGCAATTTTTCGCAGAATCTCAGCCTTTTTGGTTGCCACAAATAAAATTTCCCACTGTTTTTTCTTTTCGTATTTGCCACGATGCTTTCCAATGTATCTAGCAGCGAATAATTGTTGGTGTCTGGCGAGATGAGCATTCACATACTCGTACTTACAAACACAAGACACACACACAACAATGAAAAGCGAAAGGTAAATGGACAACAAGCACTCGCTGTTTCTGCATCCTGCACCAACAATAAAAACAATATACAATCTACATAGTACGAGTACATATCCTTTCAGCGACAACAACAATTAAAACAACATATACTGTTTATAGTTGCTAAGCTCTTGCCTAAATTACAAGTGAAAACCAACAAAAAAATTAAATAGAAAAGAAAAGTGCCACCTCTTTCTTCGCCGTATGTAAAACAACAACAGCAACAACAACAATTACAATAAGAAAGGAATATGTGAAAATGAAATGAACGAAGAGCAGTGCGCGAGAAAATGATTCCGCTTGCTTGTGTATGAGTGTGTGTGTGAGTGTGTGTGTGTGTGTGTGTGTGTGTGTGTGTGTGCGTACATGTCCGCAACAAAATGTTAAAAGTGAAATTGTGCGACGCCCCAAAGAAGCTGTGTATATGAATATGTATACCTACACATATATATAGTACATGATTGCGCAAAAACACGCATTCCCCAAAAGACAAACCTTCATAATTAAAATGCACTCGGCAAATAATTAAAAGCGGGCAATCCCACTTCACAATTTCTGTTGCATTTTGGATTGAAATTTCTTAACACAAATACGGGTATATTGTATTTGGAGACCTAAAAATAAACTACGCAATGTTTCGCTAGTTTTAATTACATCGATTTAATGATGGATTACAAACTAATTTAACATCGGATGTTGTGGAGGGCGTGCCAAACATAAATTATTAGTCACCAATAATTAGTATATACATACATAATTAAAAGCTTCCATTACTTGTTATTGATTGTTGCACATTTTACATATGGGCACTTTTTTTGCACGATTTATTAGCTTTAAATTATAAAGCAGTATGTGTGTGTACTTAATACTTAACTTGAATTAAAAAGTTCATAATATTGTGATAACATTGCTAATTTTAAAAGTTTATAATATTACAATTTATTTTCCTCAAAAACACCTACAAGTAATGAAACAATATTCCTAGGTTTTTCATTGACAGATACTTCTTATAACTTTTTATACTCGGTACATAAAATTTACAAGAGTATATTAGGTTTGCGGAAACTGAAAATGTAACAGGCAAAAGGAGGCGTGGCAGACCCCACAAAGTATATACATAATCTAGCCCTGTCTGTCTGTCCGTCTGTCAGTCTGTCCGTCTGTCCGTATGAACACCTGGATCTCAGAGACTATAAGAGCTAGAGACAGCAAATTTTGCACAAAGATGCATTATGTGTGTACGCTGTGCAAGTTTGTTTTATTTTTTTGATTTTACCCCCACTTCCCCCTATGGGCGTTTTCCCGATTTTCTATTCGTATTATCGCCTATATCTCGGAGACTATAAGACCTAGGGACACCAAATTTTAGTCCCAGATGCCTTATGTAAATACGCAGAAAATGTGTATTTTGGAATTTCCCTCTCTCCCTCCTCTCCCCAGCAAATTGTAACTCCAGTAATTCTAGGAATTTCGAACTCAAACTTGGCAAATACCTCCATTTAGTAATTATAAGTCCAAATGCCACGTTTCATCATGATAGGCCGATTTAACAGGAAGTTATAGCCATATATATACATAAGACCAAGTAGTGTCCGCAGCTGTTATTGTTGTTACTGCTTTGCTCAATAAATTTCCCACCAACGGGTCAGTGATTCTTAACCTTTAAATTTTAATTATATTTCATATTTTATTATTTTAGTATTTTAATTTTAATTTGTTTTCTTCTATCTTTTATTGCTATAGTTTTTCATCTACACTTCTGTTTTGATAGGTCTAATAACGTATCTGACTACTCTCTGCTGTGAATCGGGGCATAGCTGGCCGTTTGGCAAATAAAATTCCCCCACCGTGTCGGATTCGTTATTAGATATTTTTGTCATTTTTATAGGCTTTTTATTTCTTTAGTTTTACCTATTTTAAGTTATCTATGGTATCGACTATCGACTGCACTGTTTGTCGATGGAAATAAATAAATATGTACAGAGTGTTTCAAAGTCGGGATACCCGACTTTAGCTTCTCTACTTGTTTTTCCTAGTTGCTTTATCTAAGATTTTTCATAAAGGACAATTAATGAATTATTTCATGAGCCTGAAGTGCAATTTTTTAACCAATATCAACAAAGTAATATGGATTTCAACTCTGAATCAATTTATTAATGCTTTTACCACAACGGTATGTGAATTTAGCTCATCAATTCCTTACGAATAGTTTAAATAATCTCTCTGCCATGAACTGGAGAAACATCATTTAAATGCTCTTCTAAGGACTTTCGAAGATATTTGCGTTGAAAAGTAGCCAATTACTACACTAAAGAACACTCTGTAATACTGATTTATTATATCTTAGGCCAGACTGACGTATCATTGTTGCCCGTCTCTTGACCATATAGATAAAGGAGTTGGAAAATATTTAATTATATAATTAATAATTGTGATGCCATTTAATCCCTTTTCAACCTACAACCATACGAGCATCTAACCAATAAATATAACGAACTCCAATTTTGCTATATCTGTGCAATTGTCTGGGAAGGACTGCCCGAAGGCAGTGAGTCTGAGTCTGCTGAGAGCCGGACTATAACAAAGAAGGTGCCCCTAAAGCTTCGGTAAACCTCGTCCGCACATATTGGCTTGTATTCTCCCAGCGTTGCTAGGTCAGGGTCCAATTCAATGAAGATTTCATTTTTTCTAAAATAAATTACATCTCCCATTGAAGTCAATTTGTTAATTAATACAGGTATGATATAGGTATTAATATTACCTCAATCTCAGCTTATTCCATCTTACTCATATTTCTTATGCTCAATTAAAACGATTCTACACATTTAGTTGATTGCATTTGAGCCATCACTAATCACAAAGCCTTTCGTAAGAGCTCACACAATCTGGTTGACCTATTTTCCGTATCAATTAAAAAGTTAAGGGCCTTGTACCGGACTATTGCCAACTGCAATGGCAAAATGTCAAGCAATTAATTTGAACGTCGACAATATTGAGACCGCAAGCATAACGGCTGCATTTGTTTGCATTGCTCTTCCATTTTTAGACTTATTGAAATTTTTGCTGCCTACAGGTAATGCTTGAAGGTTCAATGTTTGCCATTGGCCTAACCAATTCAATACGAATTTCTACATACATACCAGTGGGTATAGTATATGACCAAATGTGTTGTGTTGTCTGTATGCAAATGACTGCATAAGTGCTGGAAAACAAAATGGCTATATTTGATTGTTCAGGTGGGCGCTTCAACTAGAGTGCTGTCTTTGTTATTTTGATTTTTATCGGACTTCCCTTTCCCTCTTGGGGATCTCGTAACATACAATTAATTATTCGAGCGTGTCAGGTGCATGAATTAAATGCCAACATTGGCGACGAAATTCGTGTGGGCGCTATCTAAAAAGTCAAAAGTCACTAATTGTATGGTTTCCTTTGGACACATTACAGATGCCTGCGGAAGTCGCAACGTTAAGCAACAAGCATAACAGCAAATCGTAAATTACATGTGACAAAATAAACCATAATTCATGAACAAACCCACACCACAACTGCGGCAACAACAAGAACAATGTGTTGCTTTCATTTGAAGAACTTTAAATGCGCCAATTGTGCACTAACCGCACAGCGCTCCAATACATTATCCAAGTCTAGCAACAGTTAAAGCACCGATAAGACATCAATTTGTACTTGTAAAACTACCAAGACTCCACAGCAAGTATCACAAGAAACGACAAATAGAGCTAAGACAAGCATAAGGCGAGCATAAGCCCAGACAACTGAAAGAACAGAGGAAAGTGAGGAGGATACTTGGCTGAGATTGCACAGAATGCCGCTGCTTGGAGCAGCAGCAGCATTGCTGCCACGCCCTTTGCCATTGCTGTTGTTACTCTATCTATCGAGTGTTTTCGTGCTGGTCTGTAGTCAGCGTCCATTGCTCTTCAATCACACTCTCAATGCGCTGCCCATGTCCCAGCATAACTATGTGGGCTCCTCCACTCTGCCCGGCAAGCAGCTGCGCAACGGTCGCACACACGAGCAGCCGCTGCCCCTGCCCGGACCCACAATCCCCTCGCTGGCACAGCCTGTGCAACGGGGTGTGGCCATCTACGATGACTACGAGACGGAATTAGGCGGCACCCGTGTTCCGCCAGGCAATCGTCGTGACAATCGACGCATTAAGAATCTGGCCAGTCTGAATGCTGGTGCACTGCCGCGCCCAGAACGCGGCAACGGGCGACGTGGCATGGAATCATTGCGTAAGGAGCTGATGAAACCATCGGTGGGTGGTCCCGGCGGTGGCATCTCCGGCAGTAGCGCCGGCTATCCGTCGTACTCGGCCACCTCATCTATTGGAAAAATCGATGGTTTGGGTGGCATTGGATCGGCAAATCGCTACGGTGAACAACTACGTCCACCCAATTCAGCGGCAGCGGCAGCAGCAGCTATGACAGCTCAGAGTCCACTCTCAACACGGCTTCCGCCACTCTATGGGGGCGCTGAGACCGGAGATGTGAAGCCAATGCGCTACACACCGCGCAGGAACTCCATTAGTGAGTTGTGGAAGCTCAAGAATCGTCTGCACAACGGACAGGCAGACGAGCCAGCTGGTGGTGTGACACACGGCAATCTGGAGGGTGATGTAGAGCCGGGGCATTTGGATCCTATACAGGAAATTAAGGAACGCATACGTGATACTGCGCCCAAGCCTGTGAGTCCTAGTTGACAATACTAATTGCAAATTTGTTTCATTTCCCCTTCTACACTTCCTACACGACAGAATACTTATGCTCCACATACGGAATCTACGCCGTCTTCGGAAATTGAATATATGCTTGGCGTAAAATGCAAGTTTGAAAACGTCTGCGCTTGGGCTTGGACCGAAAATCTAACCGATGGTTTTCAAGTCATTAGCGGCACAGAGCTAGCCCAAAAGAATATGACGGGTCTGTTGCCAGGTCCTATAGCAGATAGCATTGATGATGCGAATGGTAAGTATTGTGGGCTATACATAAGTGAATTGAACATCATTTAATAAATAATTTTCCCATTCAGGTCACTTCCTATACGCACGCGTCTTGCCCACAACCAAGCAACTGAATCTCACCTCGCCAGCGTTTAGCACCACCATGGAGAAGTGCTTCCTCGAGGTGTACATGCACCAGAGCGACATGAGTCATGGATTATCGCGTGTGGTCGTTGAACCAACGGATTCCCATGAGAGTAGCTGGGTGCCAGCTGAAATACAAGGCGACAACTTTCGCCAGTGGACACGGAAATTCTTTCGCATTGGTCGCATTTCCCGGGAGTTTCGTCTGGTTTTTGAAATTGTACCCGAGCTGAAGCCCGGCCAGAAGGGTCATGTGGCGCTCGACAATCTGCGTATGGTCAACTGCTTTCGGGAGGGTGCAAAGTCTGAAAAGTGCAGCACATCACAAGTCAAGTGCATGTCCAACAAAGTACCAGTCTGTATTCCACTACCGCGTATCTGCGACATTACTCGAGACTGTGATGATGCCGAGGACGAGTTGCAAAGTTGCGGTGAGTATTTCAATTTGGTTATATGTTTAATTTGATCTATAATGGATCTATATAATACACAGATAAAATACCTTATGGCGGACGCTGCGATTTTGAAGAAGACTGGTGCGGATGGCGGGATTCAGGCAAAACAACGTTGACCTGGTCAAGACATACCGGCTCGTCGCCGACCCACGATACAGGACCGGATGGCGACCACACACAGCAACATCTGTTAAATAGCACTGGTGGCTATTATATGCTCGTTAACATGAATCAGCATGTAAACGACACTGAGAAAAACTCCATTATTGGCTTTGCCAGCAATGCCATCATGCTAAGCAAGACCTTTAACCCTCCACCGTCCGTACATGGGAACCCTGACTCACCCTATCGGAATTCGTGTGTAGTACGCTTTTATATACATCAGTTCGGAAAAAACCCAGGCAGCATTAATCTGTCTGTGGTCGAGATGAAAGAGAAGGAGAATATAACGACTACGTTATGGTGGAGCTCCAAGAACCAGGGCAGTGATTGGTTGCGAGCTGAATACGTTTTACCGAATATTACATCGAAGTAAGTGCACTTATTTCGTATTTAAGCTAAATAGATTATCCGGAATGAATAATTAAAACTTTTCTCTTGCAGATACTATCTACAGTTCGAAGCACGTATGGGCATGCGGATTTTCTCTGATGTGGCAGTCGATGACTTCTCATTGAGTCCAGAATGCTTTGGACTGAACATACCCGAAGAGCATCTCAATGGCTACAACTATTGGGATGTGCGCCATTATCTGAAGAAACCCAGTCATCATGATTTCGAACACACTAATTGTAAGTGACAACTAAACCACGCTCATAGGTAAACACAAAAAATGTTAATCATTGTTTGCACAGATCTTGAACTGACTAGCTGCGATACACGAGGTATGATAGGACCGACACAGCTGCAATGCGAGTCCTCGTATCGGGAGCAAAATAAGACGCATGTCCTGCGCGAGGTGCATGTGGTGGAGGACCAGAGCACCTACAAAGGCATGCAAAAGTGGAAGGTGCCTAATGAAGGACACTACACGTATGTAGCATGGATAGAACTACTTGTATTATTGGAATTTAATTTTAATTTTGCATTTTTCTAACCACTACAGCATTATTGCCAAAGGCGCAAGCGGCGGCTTGGGCTCTGGTGGTGTGGGCTCTTCACGTGGCGCTGTTGCAGTTGCTGTACTAGAGCTACATAAGAATGAGGAACTGTACTTCCTAGTGGGCCAGCAGGGTGAGAATGCATGCATCAAGTCCATGGGTACACACAAGGAGGCCGGTTGCGGAGCAGAGCATGCTGACGTTGACCTAAGTCAATACAGTTTTCGCTCTAAACAGGACATGGTCAAGAACATTTATATTGAAAATGGCGCTGGCGGAGGTGGTGGCGGTTCCTTCATTTTCTTGCTCAACCAGGCCAAGAACGAGGCAGTGCCACTTCTTGTAGCCGGTGGCGGTGGAGGTCTGGGGATAGGTCAATACATCGACGAAGACTTTCAGCATGGGCAGACGGCAAAGCCGCTACAGGCACCAGAAAGCGGGCAAATCAATGGTGAACCACTAAACAAGAAAACTGCTGGACCCGGAGGTGGCTGGCGTGCAAAGGAGGATCAAGCGCTGAGCCCCACCTATGGTGCTGCCCTGCTGCAGGGCGGGCGTGGTGGCCATTCGTGCTACGTGGAGCTGGCAGACAATGGCTCAACCGTCCATAGACATGGTCAGGGTGGCTTTGGTGGAGGCGGTGGCGGATGCAACACCGGCGGTGGCGGAGGTGGCTATGCTGGTGGCGATGTCTACCTCAACGAGTCAAATGGTGAAGGCGGTAGTTCCTTCATCAGCAGCAGTCGCAGCCTGCGTGACTTTAGCACCATTTATGCGGGTGCTAGTACTGGCGCCGGATCCATTATAATAATCCCTGCTATTGAAGGATGTGGCTGTGATTATCGCTGCGTGGCCATAGATGAGTTCAGATCCTCAGTGCGATGCATTTGCCCTGATGGCTGGACTTTGAAGAAGGATAACAATACGGCTTGTGAAATACACGAAGAGAGCGGAAAATCATCTTTCGAGTATTTGGTTGCATGCCTTGTCTTCTCGCTGGCCGTGCTCTTCACCTGTATTGGCGGACTTATCTTTATGCTCTGTAAGTATGAAGCTAAACATACGAAGTTTTTGCGAACCCAATTTTAAGTCCATCGGTTGCATAATAACTTTTAATTCATATATAAGTTGATCCCATTTTACCCCACTTTCGTTAAAAAAAAATTCCAACAGTATTCTTTAGCGCTTTAGCTTCCAAGCTCTAAAGTCGATTTCCATTCTACATACAAACATTAAACATACCTCTCCATTTCTCTCTTAAGCTGTAATATTACCAGTTATGAATGTACGTCTGCCTTTTTTTATCACAGATAATCGCTATCAACGTAAAAAGCAAGCCAAATTACGCCACAAGATGCTCGTAGAGCAGGATTTGCAGCTCAGCCGCCTGCGCCACAACATCGACGACTCCAATTTGAACAACTTTAATCCCAATTATGGATGCGATGGCATACTCAACGGTCACATCGACGTCAACAGTCTGCCGGGAGTGGCCCGCGAGAGTTTGCAGCTGGTCAAGTAAGCAACATATTCCCGCGTTCCTTGATTATCACTTCTAACTGATCCCTATTTTCCAGTGCTTTGGGCAAGGGCGCCTTTGGCGAAGTGTATTTAGCACTGTATCGCCATCGTGATGGTGATGCCGTTGAAATGCCTGTAGCAGTCAAAACATTGCGGGAGGATCCAAAGCGTGAGAAGGAAGAGGACTTTCTCAAAGAGGCTGCTATTATGGCTAAGTTCAATCATCCGAATATGGTGCATTTGATCGGCGTCTGTTTTGATCGTCAGCCCTACTACATAGTACTGGAACTTCTGGCCGGTGGGGATTTGCAAAAATTCCTGCGCGAAAACCGCAACACACCCGAGCGTCCCTCCTTGCTAACTATGAAGGATCTGCTTTTCTGTGCCTTGGACGTGGCCAAGGGCTGCCGCTATATGGAAAGCAAGCGCTTCATACATCGGGACATTGCAGCGCGCAATTGCCTACTTAGTAGCAAGGGGCCCGGACGTGTAGTCAAGATTGCGGACTTCGGCATGTCCCGCGACATTTATCGCTCAGACTACTATCGCAAGGGGGGCAAGGCTATGTTGCCAATTAAATGGATGCCTCCCGAAGCCTTCCTTGATGGTATATTTACGTCCAAGACGGATGTATGGTCCTTTGGCATCTTGCTCTGGGAAGTTTTCTCTTTAGGACGCTCCCCCTATCCCGGTCAACATAATACGCAAGTCATGGAGCTTGTAGTACGCGGCGGACGCTTGGGCTCACCAACAGAATGCCCCGTGTCCATTTATAAGATCATGGCCGATTGCTGGAACCCCACGCCCGAGGACCGACCAACGTTCACAAGTCTGCTGGAGCATTTGACTGCATGCTCGCAGGATCCGACTATCATGAATGCACCACTACCCAACATACTTGGTTCCACGGCTTCGGAGCGGGATGATACTGTGATCCGACCACCAAATGGCGAGGAGTTCTGTCTGGCGGTTCCAGACTATTTGGTCCCTCTACCGGGCAATGGAGCAGCCGTTGCAGCTAGTGGAGCCAATTATGGGCCGGCACAGCGACACCAGCATGCGTGCACCCCCCCAGCCGTTACGTCACCCGCAGCGCCCAAGATGCCTCCTGGTGCGCAGGCACAGCCCAACGACGGTGCCGACTGCTGGGAAACTTCTTTCATATTGCCCAACTCGAAAAGCGATCAACCGCTGCTAAATGGCACAGCCATAACAACAAATGCGTTGGGGTGCAATAAAACTCTTGACCCTCAAGGAAACTTACAGGCTCTGACATCAACCGCTGCTTCGCCAACCATGACACCCATAAATCGATCGCCTACGCACAGTGACGAGGCCAAGCTCATTAGTCTCGATACGCCGCAGGCCACGCCAACAACCATACAGCCTCCACTATCGTTTGCCTCACAGCTGGACGGGATTACGCTCGATCCGGCAGCGCTCTCCAAGAGCGTGCAGCAGCAGCAGCAACAGCAGGCGCAGGCGCAGGCCAATGGCAGCAGCAAGTCCTATGCCAACGTACAGGTGAAGAACGCTGTGGTGGAACCCGAAAAACTCAACGGATCGCTGCCAAATGGCGACCTACCTCAGGCCGCTGCGACCACAACGATGACAGCAAATGGTTCACCATTTACCATACAGGGATATGCAGATCGCTACAAGGACAACAACAATCATTCCGAAATCAGCTGTTAGAGTTTAGTTTTCGATTGTGTGCGATTTCATTGGGGAATGACTTTGAAAACAGACCAAAAGTTTGCTGTCTCTTGCTTTTGCTAATGGACATGAGCAGAAAATGGTGTTTGATCATGAAGTTATCCATCAGCCTGAATTTAACATTCATGAAGGCCCTGTTGGCTGCAAAAGCCAAAGTCAAAACAAAAAAACATAATTAAAAGAAAAAGAAATCGAGTGAGAAGTTCGCAAAAATTGTATTGTAATAAAAATATTAATTTTTATCACATTAACGTATATGGAACTTAGTTAATTTTTGTAAGACGTTAGTTTGCCAATGCGAGAGGTTGTATATAAATTAAATGTATTTTTCATTTTAAATTTATACCAAAAAATCGTCATTATGTACATCGTTGGGTTTCTTTGTTATCATTTTATTTTACGTTATTTCATTTAAGCTAATGACTGAATGCTAAACAATATTCCTAAATGAAAATTTGCTTACTGGCATACACATTTTTTTATATACAAGCAACAAACACAGTCCAAAAATACAAGAAACGCAACCCAAATGATATATAAACAAAGAATTAATTCAGTGCTCAACACAAAGAGTATAGTCATTTATTTTTTAAATATATATTCAATACTTAATTTAAATTTAACAAAACAAAAAACAATACTTGTAGAACATGAAGCGCCATATTCAAGTATTTAATGTATTTCTTAATAATTTAACATCGATATTATTATTTTGTCAGAAGAAAATGTAAATAAAAGCTTCCGTCGTAGCCTAAAATATGTATTTATGTATTAAAAATATAAACAAATTAAGCTAAATGTAGCTCGTTATTAATAAATATGTAACAGCAAGAACAGAAAATGGAAAAACTACAATTTACAGGGTGATTTTTATAAAAATTCAGTTGTATGTTTAAAAAACAAAAAACTAGCATTAAATGAGAAATGAAGAAATTAGAAAGAAAACAAAAATACAAAAGCAAAAGCAAAAGCACTTGCATAATTTGAGAAAAATTAGATTATTGATTAGATTATTGTGTTTGGCGCCATTTTGCTCGTTTATGACATACTATATACATAGTATTGTATTTTCACACACACGATCACAACATATGTGTGCAGCTTTAAATGCTTTCAAATGTGCAAGCCTGAATGGGAAATGTTTTTGTTGGAATATTGGAAAAATTGTTGTTTTGCAAAAGTCATTGAAATGCATTGACGAGCAGCTATGAAAATTTCGTATTTAGTTCAAACGTAACAAACAAGCTTTAAATTATATAATTTTTATAAAAATATATATGTATACACATACATGCATAGTACATACATACAAACACACATATTGTGCATATACTCGTACAACAACAACAACAACCATACTTGTATTACCAATATAAGTATAAGTATGTACGCATTAAATGAAAAATATAAGAAATATTTAAATAATTTAAAATCCAAAAAAAAAAAAAACTAAAAATAAAAATAAATAAAGTAAAATTTCAAAATAAAGCATGGCAAGTGTGTACGCTAAAAAATTAGGAAAAAATCTTAACTAAACACTTGTTTTACATTGTATGTATATTTAAACGTAAGCATATTCAATGTGTGTTTCAAACAGCATATACTTATAAATATACATACTCGTATATTTAATACAAAACAAAACCGAAACATCTTACGAAGTAATAAATATATATATATATGTTTATGTATATGTTTTGCTTATGTAAAATTCTACAGTTATACGCGCATATATATATATAAACTCAAAAAAAAACATATGTATCTAATAACCGAAAAACATATTTATATATGTATGTATGTACAAACGTGCAGTACCCATAATTAATGCTGAAAACAAAACAAAAACTAAAGCTGTACATTAAATTTAAAACAAATTTGATTGCAGGCGGTCAAGCGGCTGTCATTTAAAGCCCCTATAATATTATAATAATAATACAAATATTCATACATACAGAGAATTGTACAAAACAAAGAAAAGGTTAATATGCTCACATTAATTCAGATCAACATTGTGACAAACAAACGGATCAAATATAATTCCTCAAGTATATTTCAGATCAACGTTAGCTAAGCTTGAAGCTCAGTTTTTGCTAAAGCGGGTATCGCTTAATTGATTTACATTTAAGAGCAGTTATAAGCACAGATGCTTACGATGTTTATTGTCATGAAGTAACATTTATATATTTATGAATGTATGTGTATCTAATATGGTTGTGCTCAGGCATGTTAAGGCGGTGCATTGTCTACGAAACAACAAGGAAATCGAAAACAAACAAATAACACTTTATCTATAAGAGAATATAGTGTCTAAGTGGCTTTCACAAAATGCACATTCATTTATTATTGTTTGACGGTACTCTTTATTGTTCAAAATGAATGTTAGCCGCAGCCTTGATAGCTGAAATCTGCCATATATATTTCTACTGGCCGCTTTCACTGAACTACATAGTATCGAAAAATCGAAACATTTGAGAATTGAGTGGCCAGATTTAAACTAATACTCTTAAACAATATTTGGTATTCATTTTTTTTTTTTTTTGGGTTTTCTTGTGATATTGGAAAAGTTATTGAGCTTTAACTTCATATGAGTAACATTGATTTATTGTGTTGCATTACAAATTTTGTATACGCATTTGCTTTTCCGCCATTACGTTACACAGCACAACAAATTGTACCCTGATAACTTACCTGTGTACCTAAGTCCAGAACCTGACAAAAGTTACATATTTATTCACACATACACACCTGCATACGAGTGCGTCAATGAGTACATAACATAGTATATACATATGTAACTCTTATAATGTTGGCTGATCTGAAATGAGCTCAACCATTCTTAAACAAAACGATCATACATAAATCCATGCATTCTGTTACTTTGATTTTATTATTTGGTACAAATTATCGATTGATTGGAATATGCAAATGATTTGAGTGCTCCTGAATTTTTGTATTGAGCTTAGTTTGAATTCTGCATACATACTTGTAACAGCGATTTATCAGCCGCACAATTAAATGGAGCGCTAAACTTCCATCCTGTTCACAACAATTTTTAAATTTCCAATATTATTACTTTCAATACTTACATGCATTCGGAAACTTACTGATAGAAGTATGCCGGCAATCAATATCAGAGTATGATACACTTTATTTCTCAACAATAAAAAATCGCAACGAAATTTGTAACATTATGAAAGAAAATGAAATATACAAACATTATAATGAACTCGAGTATTTATTTAAGCCAAATGTTTAAGTGTATTATTTAAACAGAATAAATAGTATTTTTATATACTAAAAGGTAAATGCAAGATAAATGCAATTAGTTCGTATACAAATTGTAACAAGCGATAACTAGCTATTAAAATATTGAATATTGAAGGTTTTCATTTAAACGGTAATTTATTTTGTTATAAGAAACAAAAACTAAATTAAAAAGAAAACAGAAACGTAAAGACTAGAACAACATTTTGTAAGCAGCCATGTGAGTTTAAAAATAGCGAGCAGTTAGTGAAACATGTACTACAAGTTTTAAAAAGAGTATCAATGAAATTGTCATTGAAATGAAAAGAAATGTAATGAGACAACAAGTGAATTGGAAAAGGTAATTTGTTAAACAAAATAACATAAAGAAATAAATGAACGATTGACTAAATCAACCATGCATAAAGAAAAAATGCAGCTTAGTACGCAAGAAAGTCCATTTAGTACGTATTGAGAAAATATTTAATATCCCAAATGCATGCGTACACAAATGCCGGGACAGAGAAAAAATACTCGAACTACAAAAAATCAGCAACAATAAATGTTTGAGGAAGCACCCTCATGCTCTTGCTCTTGCTCTTGCCCATTGCTCAACAAGCGTTTTTATCGAAAAATTGGCAATCGAGCCATATCGGGAATTAAATCACCCTGAAATGGTGTCACTATGTCAGGCAATAATGCTAAATACTCAATTCAATCGTTTACCAAATAGCAGTCGAGAGTGCTAAAACATACATATACTTACATATATACTATATATTTTATAAATTCTCAGATCCGCAAGGTACATGTGTTTGCATGTACATAAGAGTACTTATGATTATAAGTCAACATATTAACACATAAGAAAATTATACACAAATAGATAATATTGAAAACGAATATACAAACGCAGATAAACAGATATACAAATACGAACTAATGGATAGTTAAACGCAAACAATATGCATGTATTAAATATTTACATTTATTACCATGCTGCACTTGTCTCAAAACCGATCTAATTCAAGGATAACTCACATTTCAATCTACTTAAAAGCGTGCAAAGCTCATTCATAACTGTATATACTCGAATATGGTATATATATCATTTTTATATCGTAGGAGCTCAGATTTTCAGTTTGACTCTGTACTTCTATTCTATTTTATTTAGCCATAATTTTTTTTTCTTTTTTGTATGCGTGCATAAAAAGGAAAAGAACCAACACAAAAATGTTGAAAAGTACATATACTATTTAAGCACAGAGATCATACACGGATACTGTTTAATGCAGATGAAATAACTAAAATGAGGAATGAATATAAACATATATACATAATTTGTATATTATTACGAGTAAAGTAAAGGAGAGCGAAGGATGACGAAAGTTGTGAAGCTGGTAGCGTGTAAGCGCGAGAAATGTGAAAATTTAACAAACAAAAATCAGAGCAAATAATAAAAGAAAATTAATGTGTACAAAAAATGTATCCTTTTCTCACTTACGGTTAGGGTTGCTTAAGATGGCTGTATCTGAAAAAGCACATTGCAACACCAACGTAGGATTGATTCCTCCTGGTTTTTATTGGTTTGCTTTCCACCAACAAGACACGGTCAGGGCTTCTGTTTGTTAAGCACTGGACAATAACAACGTAGGGGCTCTACGCTTTTCTCCTCTTTTTCATCTCTACAGCTTCTGCAGAATCGTTTGATGGGATGCGAAGTTTTACGGCGGACAGTTGCCCGTACACAGTCTTTTTAAGTTTCAGAAGAAAGGTGGTGCTTTTACTATAATGTCATTGATTATTCTTGCTCAAACATTGCTACTAATTTATTTAAATATTTTTTTAAAAATATTTTAAGGTTGTTGAAGTACTAAGTACTATTTCTCACTTTGAATATCAATATTGATGTCTAAGCTTTAAATTGCGGCAAATGTCAATATTAAAAAAAAAAACATTTTGGAAAATTTCGTTCTTATAAAATTTTTCTACTATGTAAATATAAATAAGTTAATACTTTTAGTTAGTAGAAAAGTGGGAAAAATATAAATTAGAAACCTGCGACGTGAGTCAAGCCCACTTCCACGTCAACACTTCTGCTCTTACTATATAACATCACACTTTAAATTCAATGTTCTAATATTAAAAACTAATTTGAAGTGTGCACGCTTTATTTTTCTAAAATACTATACTGTCGTGAAAAATAGATCGTATAAATATTGAAATCTACGTGAAAATAGTTGAATTTGGTTTTTTTTATGAGTGTACTTTATTTGACTTAATAGACTGTTCTGCTTTTGGGGAAAGCCATCTAACTAGATACGATTAACTAGTCACAGCACTTATATATGACGGAGGTACTATCTATCAGTCGTTTTCTCTGCCGCTAAACCCGAAACATATCCTTAGACTGATATTGCGATTTGAGCTTACTGACTTTTAGTTTGAGAAAAGTTCGGGATGCTTTTTTTAAGTATTCGGCCTGAATCAGGACAGAAACAGGACAGTTGGCATGTGGATTTAAAAGCAGATCTTTAATTAGGATACTTACTTTCTGAACAAAGCATAGCTTCTGAAAATTTCGCCCTTAAATCTACAACCAGTATAAAATACATAATACCAATTTTATTTATATCTCTTTTTTATTTTCTGATCAGCTTTTCAAATGTTCGCTTTTTTGTACTAATGCAAATTATTAAATTTAATATACGCCAGGCCAATAAAAACTAAATACCATTCAATAACAAATTACACAATATATTTTGTTCTGTATAGTTTATTTTGTTATTTATAGTTTGGTATTAATATACTATTACCTATGCTCTAGAGTTTGTTTTTAAATTGTTTTGTTTTCACGTTCAACTATATTTATTATATTTTTATTGTATTTTCTTTTAATATTCAAAAATTTATGCGCTGCACCGCTTGATACAAAATAGCTATATCTGGAATCAAAATTTGATTTAAAAAAATTAATAAATTTATGAACTGGGGTTGTTTTGGAATTATCTCATATATTTTATTGATGCGCTGCAATATACAGTAAGTATTTATTTTATAAACTGTTTAAAAATAAAACATAATAAATTCTAGGCATAACATAATATACTTATTGCACGAAGGGTGGAAATAATCAACATCCGGTAGACTTTTCTCAGCTCAGGCAACAACCAGAATAGAAAGGAAATGAAAAGAAAAGAAAAACGCACAAGCGCATACAAAACAAACAAGAACGAAATGTCTATGCCCCATTTTTGCTACTAACTGGATGGAATGTTCTTACTATATGTATGTATGTTCCTTAGGTTCGTTTCATGCTGCTAATTTTGCTTGTTAGTTTTTATTGAATTATAATATAAATTTAATCATTTCAATTTGCTAATCGTGTATACAATGCTTTGTCAAAACTTCGGTCAGCTATAATTTGTTGTGAAACTTTTTTCTCGCCGGCTACGCTTAAATTTTAGACTGCAAATGCTAATAAATTATGTTTGATGTGTTTATAAATATAATTCTTTCATTGTTTTTTCTGCTTTTTTTTCAATTTGTCTTTCTTTTCATTTCTTCTACCATATTTCCTTTTCATACTTTTCATATACAGAAATTTTATTTTGTATATATAAGTAGGTATAATTTGTTTGTTTCCGTTTTTTGTCGTAAGTCGTTTTTCATATAGTTTCTTGCTTTTGTTTTGAATTTAATGCTTAGTTTTAAATGTAAAAATTTTAAAACTACGCTCATAATTATTATTTATATGCAATGTATGTTATATAGTATAATTATAGTTAGTTAATTAGCATAGTTTACGTTATGTTTATGTAATTTAAAGCAATAACAAGCCATTTTTATAATTTCTTTTTACTAATTTATAATTGTTTTGTGTCTGTTTACTGTTAAATTTGTTTATATTTATTTTAGTAAACACTTTTAGATGCACTAATTACCTCAAATTGCTTTATTATTATCGACATATTCATATATGCACTAGCTCGCTAATCGATTTAATTCATTTTGAATTTTGCATTTAATTTGCAATCAGCATTCTTAGCATGCATATGTCCTTCCGTTCGCAAAAGGTGGAATATGTTATTATTTTATTTGTTGTATCTCAATTACTTAGATGACTGCACAAAATTTACAAAAGTTACGTGCTAACCTCACGCCACCTTACCCCTACACCGCAACGATGTTCGCTAATCGTACTCCTCTCGCGTTTACTTAAAAATTTCTCAAAAATGTTTTACACTTGCGGCCAATTGGGCGGCCAACTGCCACTACAACACACAGCATACAAATAGTATTCAATTGTTTGCGAATTTTATCGTTTGTATGTATGTACTTGTATGTATGTATGTATGTATGTGTACTGTTTTCTGATGGAGGCAATAACCAGTTGCATGTTTACCCCATGTTTTTGTTGTTAATTGTTCTGTTGTTGTTGTTGTTGGTGTTGCTGCAGTTGCTGTTGTTGTTGTTGTTGGTATTTACTTTTGTAACATATATAAAAAATATGATTATAATTATTTGCTAAAAAACCTCTAAAATTTACTCCATTTTAAAGCATTTAGAAATTGCAAAAAGACAATCGCCAGACAATTATATTACTATACGCCTGTTTTTACAAAAATGGTATCAAACGCGCCATCTTAAGCGCATTATCCAGAAATGCGCTCCACAGATCGTTCAAACGCTTTGAGCGTGACATCAGAAAGCGCCAGGTGAGTAGCACGGCCACTAATTTGGTTAGCTGATGCAGATAGTAGAGCCTGTTGAAAATAAAGATATATCCGTTAATCCAGGATACTAAATTGTATTGAAATTTAATACAGATTACATCTTGCATTCCTAATTAGTATTTCTTATTACATACTACTATTGATGGAGAAAATCGAATGTGCTCAACAAATATTACATGCACAGTCTAGACTAAAACTATTGCTTTTAGTTTGTACTGGCTATAAGTTGTGTATCATTTTTCGTTACACACCTGCCCATGCGTTTTCTGTTTAATAAATATTACATGCACAGTCTAGACTAAAAGCTAGACAAAAACTATTGATTTACTTTATACTTCATTCAATAATAACTTTCATAATATAGTAATTGGTAATTTTTTACACACCTGATCATGCGTTTTCTGCTGGAGGGCAACGATTCGGGTCGCTGTTTAAACAGAAACTCTCTGAAGCCCAAAACGTAGCGTTCCACATATTTATCCCAGTGTATGCGACGTACGTCGAATACAAAAATCTCACGATCTTTGGGACTGAGCGTGTACAGCAATGAGTTGACATTGTCATCATTAAAACGCCATTGACGCGTGGCAAAGTACTCTAGACATTCGACAGCTTTAGCAATTTTATTTTGTACATTGACAACACTGTAAATCAAAGAATATGTCGTTAAAAAATATATATATTGTTAGATATAAGCTAGTGCTTTTGGGAGCGACTAAGAACAGGCCTTGCCAATGTGGCAAATGTAAACAATTTGACTTACAATGGCTTCTTGCCCATAACGCGCGCAACAACATCCAGTAGATAGGCAGGTAGAAAGTGTTTTAATATACAATTCAGCGTGTTTAGGGGACGATTCATGCGCAGATCACCAGTTGGATACCACAGACAGCCCTCTGCAAGTTCAAAATATCATTAAATATTATTAATTAGAGAGACAGAAATGTACGTACCCAATGGATGCTTTCTTACGCTGGTCATGGCATACTTAACAAACTCTGACCACACAATCGGATTGCGCTGACCGGTACAACAATTGTATATGAGTAGATTATTGGATTTACGCGTCGCTGTGCGCCAGGCGGCCGCAATCATTAGATTAATCACAATATCGACAGGTACCAAATCGGCCACATAATTCTTTTCGCACATCATTGTGCGGAAGAGGCCCTTGGCCAGTGCTGAGACTAAGCCCGTTGGCCCATTGAAGTTATCCACCCAACCGGCAAACGGTTCGTTTAAACTGGCAGTCACTGGAATTGAACAGTTGCATACATACTTCTATAGCGATATGCTGAGATTAAAACGGGCTTAACATACCTATTGAGGGCCTTACAATGGCAACAGGCAGGTTACCAGCCTCTTTAAGTAACATGTGCTCCGCTAAGGCTTTTGTAAATGTGTACGTATTGGGGCGTTTGCCAATAAGTCGGGGTGTCAACTAATCATAAAAAAATTTGTAAATAAATAGTTTTTGTAGAGTGCAGTTTAAGGGCAAACCTGATCGAGTATATCCTCCGGAAGCCAATTGATTAATGAAATTATATCATCAGGATTATAAGGTGGTGCATAGATAACCTCAGAGACATCGGTTCTATCGCAATTGCAATAGGCAGTGGAGACGTGTATAAGTGCCTGAACAAAATGTTACACATTTCCTTTGAGCGATTATTGTATATATTCAACAAGAATTATACTTACATCTAGGGACATCATGCGATGACACAGCTCAACTAATCGTTTCGTGCCCAGCATGTTGATTGTGACTGAGAGTTTGAGTTTCTCATCGAATTTCACAGTGGCAGCTGAATGAAATACAATGGAAACGGTCCGACAAAGTAGTGCCTATATAATAGAACAGTCGAAAATTAAAAACAAAACTTTGTATCCCTCAATTTTTGTCAACGCACCTGGTCGCTCTCTGAAATTCCCAACTCCTCCGATGTTATATCGCCGGATATAGGTATGACTTTACTTAGCTCTTTCGGTTTTTCTCGACGCAGTGATTCAAAAAGCTGCAGAATTTTTATTAATATTTTCACCAATTCCATAGTTAATGCTATTGTGTCTGCTTACCGGTGCATTTAATAATTCCGTGAGACGCGCTGAGACCTCTTGTCCACGTTTCGGTCGTATAAGCAAATATATGTTTCTTATATCTGGGCACGACCGCAACAGTTTCTCAACCAGCACCTAAACATTAAACAAGAGAAGAAGATCAGACTTTTAAATACATATAACTAAAGCACAAAAGTTTAAATTTATTTACTTTTAAATCAAGTATATTCTCGTTAAATTCATTTACGATTAATTTTGATTATCTCATGATCTGAACTAATTATGGCAAGGACTATTATTTATTCATACCTCTCCCCCGGCCCCCAATTACAATTAGATGGGGGCGCACACATCCACGAAACAGATATACGTGTATATGTATTATTTTCATTAAAAACTTTATTTTAACAACCTTGTGTCTAATGACCATACATTGAAATAGAATCACGCTAACCACAGAAACCGCAAACATTAAAATATTCAGTCATTAGCATTAACTGCCAATAACCACCAGTAACCACCACAAATATAAAATATGACCCATAAAGTCGTGAAAACGTGAACTGACATTTCATGTCCCAGGCACGTGTGGACAATCCACGCCTGCACATTGACAGGAAGTGCACAATGCAGACAAGGCAGGAAAAAAGGATACAGTTGACTGACTCAGCACAGACACGCCTATTATGGGGTAAAACGATGTTGACAATCAATAAGGCGGGGCATGATGGTGCAGTGAACTTGGCTATTAAACAAGTTTGATTGACTTGTATCAGTTCATTTAACGATTATAGTGGCTTTGTTTATATTTTATCTACCTATACAAATTTGTATAATTTGAAAAAACATAACAGACGCGTCGACATTGTTTTAAAATTTAAATTCGAACCAGTGAATGCAGCTTTAAATGATTAATAATAAATTGATTGATAAATTTATTTTGCAACTTTTAGCCACCATTTGTGGTGGCAAGACTAGGCTATTCAAAAAACCCATTGGTAAAATCGATTTAAAATTTTGGGTGAGACGGTACCCACATAAGAGCACATACATACAAGTATGTACAACGACTATCAAGCACTGTACAACAAGTATATGCCGATATTTTTTAACATGTCTGTGTACGTTAAATGACGCAGTCAGGACTTTGGCACATGCAATGTAACAACTACAAAAACAACAATTATGAAAATTGGCACATCAGCCACAGCACACAATGCGAGCGGGGACATGTACTCGTATTAGAGAAACCGTCGAATGTCGGCTGTCGGCTACCGCCGTCGAAGTTGAGCGCCATACACACTTAACGAACAATTAGAGCTGATGTCGCGTCACCCACCATAGAGATGGGCAGAGCTTCCAACACTAATGGGTGGTGCAATTGCTTGGAAAACTGTGACGTCGGCTCAGTTCTACACATGCGTGCGGACATGCATTGGCCTGAGGCGGCGCCTGGCATACAAAAGTGCACAAGCCAAATGCATTGAAATAAAAAATATAATATGCATGTAATATATATACACACACACGAGTATATGGCCATGCACAAAGGCATGCGATGCGTCAACTTGAGCAAAAAATAATAATTTGGGTTTGTAAGGCTGGCACTTGAGACAAACGGCGACACAAACCCAGCTCATGCCACTCGAACAATCCCAACCATTTTCAGCGTGCGGCCTACACACTTCAGAATACATGCATCTTTTGTTTTGGCTAGCAGCTAAAAATATCCACAAACTGTAGATTGTGCATGTCACACACATGACACCCTAAAACCCACGCCTAATGCCACACCCAAACAGACACCACGAACAGTCCAACCCCCTCACTGGACGCTTGTTGATCATGTGCCTATTAATTTCGAAGGACGCAGCAGGCAAATGCTGACACTGAGTTAATAATTGAGTTAATTCTGGATGTGTTGTGGCGTTATAAAATATCAATTGTAACCACGTCATGGCCGTCATGGCCCATGAGTCGCGTGTGCAGAGATGGAGCGCACAAAAGTATGCTTCACAAAATTTAACTTTTGAAAGGAAAATGGATTAGGCTGGATATTTCTAATAAAAATCAGACAGTGTACATATTTGAAATCCAAAAAACAAACTCGTATAGCGTACACACATAAGGCATCTTTGTGCAAAATTTGGTGTCTCTAGGTCTTATAGTCTCTGAGATCCAGGCGGACAGACTAACAGACGGACAGACAGACAGCGGTAGATCGACTGATCAAGATATTCTGCTACACCTCCTTCTGCCTGTTACATTTTTCAACTCCCGCAAACCTAAAATACTTCTATACATTTTATGTACAGAGTATAAAAATATATTCAACTTATCAAAGTTAAGTATTTGATTTTGTTGATGTAGCTCTAAACCCGATTTAATGTTCAAACACAAAATGTTTTGAAAGGCTTTTCAGAACTGTACATAAGTACATATTGGGAAGCGGTTGCAATCAATATGAAGAACAGCTTTTAAGCTCAAACATAGGGCATAATATATAAACCCAAGAGATATTAATAATTACACATTAATGACATGATTTAGCGAAGATTAAAATCACCATATCTTTAGTCTTTGCATTGCATTCTAAATTAGTTCATCTATTTCGCAATCAATCTTCAAGTGAAGCACATGTTCTCCCAATGCATTTCCTTTAACTTTGAATATAAATGGAATACTCATATTTCATGCCTAACCGGACATTAACACTGAATAATTTAAATATTTTAAAGTACATGACTCACCTTGCCCATGAACCCAGTGCCACCGGTGATGAACACACTGCGTCCCGCATAGAACTGTCCAATGGGCGTATAGTTGGAATCGTCCGCTCTATAGTGTTCATAGGGTGATTGCAATCCATTGCTGGGCAGTGCCGTGGCCGCTGAGGCTGCGAGCGCTACATTGATGCCGGATGCTGGGCCGCCGGATAGCGTCGAGTTGACACCAGAACCCCCGCCACCACTTGCACCACTGCTATAGGAGGTGGCTGCTGCGGCATGCGCGTTCGCCACCGCCGCCGTACTCAAGCCATTAAATAGATGCGTTGCAGACGCTGTTAGGCCGCCGTTTAGCAGGGCCGTCGTCTTGGAATCGCTACTGTTTTGGGACTGTGGAGACTGTGCTTGCTGCTGAGACTTTTTGAGGCTGGTATTGTCCGTTTCTGTTATTTTGACGACGGCGTGTGACATGTTCGTAGAGTTTGACTTTTTTTTTTGCTGCCGTAATGCTATTATATTTATTGTTTTTGTCGCCTGGCTGGTGGCCTTACTTATATTTAAATTTTTTAGGAAGCAGTTTTCTCTTGCATGTGCGCTTTGCCGTTTTAGCGATACTTATTTTATTTCCTTGTAATAAATGTTGTTTCATTTACTTGTTTGCCGCTGCTTTATCCGCATGTGCTTTGGAAGTGTTTGGAAGTTTTTTGTTAAATTGTTTGTTTGGTTTCGGAATTTCGCTGAATTTTTGTTTGCTTTGCTCTCTTTCCTCTTTTTTTGTTTTGCCTTTACTATTGACTGTTGTTTCAGAAAAATTACATTAATTAATTGTTAAAATTAATTAAATTTTAAATGAAGTTGTTGGCTTTCATTTATCAACTGCTTAAAAATTCGGTTGCTATCTGCTTTGAGCGTTTATCCATTTTTGTTGCCATTTATATTAATGTAGGACTGGTGCCGATTCACTCAGACATTTTTGTAAGGATGTGTGTCAGTTCCGGTGCGCAGGTTGCTTGCTTCCAGCTTTACAGTCAATTGAAAACTAAATATCAAGCAAGCGGGCTGTGTGTGTTATGTGTTGGGTTGCTGTAAATAAAAATTCCATTTAAAACTGGGCGTTAGTAAGTGCATTAGCATATTATGGAATAAGAAATAATTATATATTGTCGTAGTAGATCACTAAAAGATCACTTGCCTAGAGTGGGCTGTTTCTTTCACATTAGAGACCGATGAACCAACAATTGCTTGTTTCAAAAATAATAAATATAAATTTTAATAGGAATTTTATCCCGCCTGCTTCAATGCCTACTTAAGTTGTTTAGGAAACAATGTTAAAGCTAATTGCTTAAGTGCTTTTGAAATGTGCGCTATTCGTTTAGACAAAAGTTTTTGATTTATTATAATTTTTAAATTGGAATATAAACGGTTTGTTTCTTATTTCTTTAAAGCATGTTAAGCAATAAAAAGTTATTCAATATATGCGTGTAAAAAAGCAAAGATTTTTCTCTATGATAAGTTTTCCACATACAGTATATTAGCGTCCTCTAAAATGAAATCTGCTCTGTAATTCAACATATGCTAGCCAACTCTACGCTGAGTTGTCTTTCCCCCCACCCCAAACACTGCCTGTCTATCAATAAGTCATAAGGGCCTAAAAATAGTCGCCTTTGACATGTGCGTGTGCGTCGTAAAGAAGCCCCAAAAAAGACAGCTAAGTGACAGAAGCGACTGAGGCAACAGAGGAAACAATTGGATTTTTTGGCAATTGAACAGGTCGAGAGAATTCAAGTTCTTGTTCTGGTTGGCATTGATGGCTATGACGTCGAAGCCTTAATTTAAATTGCCACAGGCCCTTTGTCATTAAGCAAGACAAGACAACAATACAAAATTATAAACTAAAAGGATTATGAAAGGGTCTATGTCTTGCTGATTACTCGTTTTCCACGTCAATTATCAGGAAAGCATTTAAATAAAACTTATACGATGGCACAGTGTCAAATGACCCACGATAATAATATAAAACATTCTGCCGAGAATCATTCACACACACATTTAAAGGCGGCTTAACCACCGATTTCATTTAACGCACAATAGAGCTTGTAGAATGCTTTACAGTTAATCCGCTTAAGCGCCTGCAAATGAGAACTGAAAGCAAAACGCACAACGCGCAACGCACAACGCCCAGCGCGACGAAAAAGCGACGAGACAACAAACGACGTTGATGACTACGATGACGAAACCGAAAACGTTGTCCAAGTTTGTGACTCGGCCACGCTCAATATAAGCACCGTAGTGTCCCAATGACAATTTGCGAATGAACACTTTCTCGACGGCGACCGGCCGTTCTATATGGAATTTAATTTGCAACCCAACAGATGTATTGCTTTTTAGAATAGCGAAGTGTCAGAACCGTTCAACCCGCACCAAGCGTTGCCATTCGAGAGGTGCGATGTAATGCCGGGCTTCACACTTTGTCAACAAATAAGGGGACAACATGCTCGAGCTGAACAGCAAACAGTTGAATGAGCTTTGATCCCAAAGCGTATACAAAAATCACGTTTCTAGAAATGTTCTTTAAACAACGATCGGCAGTGCTTCAATATAGTTAGTTCAACAACTGTATAAATACACTTTGAAATGTTGAGGAACTCCCGGTAAGTTAAATTAAAAAATACAAGCAACACTCAAAAGGAACACAAACTTATTGAAAAAGGGTAATTAATATTTTGTAGAAAATGTTCCCAGAACTGCTATTGTATCAGATAATATAATACAAAAAGAAAATATTATTATATTAAAAATTTAACAAGTAAAATGTACATAAATGTACTTATATTGGTATATACTTTTGTCAGCTTTACGAGACAAATTCAGAGAGACAACCTCAATAAAATGTAGATTGAACTACTTCGTTCATTTTCATCTATTAAAATGAAAATATATATTAAGGTTAAGGGCTTGTCTGGTATAATCATCCGCACCCTTTGCATTGCCATTTTCAAATTTATTATTTCAACAAACTCAAAGAAACAAACAGTGTTCTTCTATGAGAGCATTCCTGTGTTATTGCTAAGAACAAGATACTGTGAAATAATTTGGATTTTGTGAGGGAAGACGTAATTGGCATCGAATATTTCGCCTGAACCCTCGCAACATTTTCAACGGGAAATAACACATTTACACTATTATTATTTGTTTTAAAACGAATAACTTCAAATAGCACCTCAGACTTAGTGAGCCACACCTCATTTGTACATAATAGCGCATTAAGTCAGACCGAGCAGTTACGCGCCAGATTATGAGTATGTGTAGGAACGATCATGATAAGTGAATGCTTCATTTCGCAAGCCTGGTCATTTGTACATGAGAAGTTCTTTCGGCAGATTTTGCGAATTGCTGTTGCGACGCAATTTACACTTGGGTTTGGTCAGTGCATATTTAACCATTGCAACTATACTTAATAATTAACAGCTTTAACAAATATTATATTTTAAATGAAATGCAACGAAAATATTGACTAACACCACAACAACTGATGGACATTGACGTCAATGGTAATCAAATATTTTCTTAAAATGAAAAGAAATGCTCAGTCATTACATGACATATTCTTTCAACAGCAACTCAAATGCACTATGCATTATAAATTGAATATGAAATAATATTTTAAATTTTAAAATACTTACATACATTAACACATTATACTAGATACACATTTAGGCATTTAACAAAAAAAAAAGCTTCCATTTGAGTGGAAATTAAATTAATAGAAGCTTACATTGGGTGAGTGACTGCCGTTTTTGTGAAATGCATTGAAAATAGTAGGTTATTCAAGCATCTTAATGTAGGAAAGTTAACCAAAGGAATAGATTTGGTTTTAAATTACTTTTAAGTTCAACTAAAAAGTTAATTTTGGAAAGCATTTGATTTGTGTTGATTCTTCGAAAATAAACTAAAATTTGGAAACGAAAAGGCTTATGTTGTTTCTTGGTAATAGAAAAGAAAACTTAAATTAGTGTTGTTATATAGTTAAAGAATTAAATTAATAATACGCAAATTATCAACAATTGCCTTAACCTGCTTCTATATTCAACTGCATATTGCTTTGAGTATGGCGACAGCTAATGTAGCACGAATCTACTTAAGTATTGTGATTAATACGATGTTAGTCAACACGTGGGAGCTATAAATACTACTAGTAGATGAAAGTATGTCCACAATTCTGATTTAAACATTGGTGAACATTGAATTCAAATTGAATTGCAAGCCATTATAGCAATATATCAGTATCTAAAGAATACTAATTATAAGAAATAAAATTTATACGACTCGTGTAAATTAAATGTGTATTTTGTATTTAAGTATTTAGAGCCATTTGATTAATTTCAAGGTGTCTCTCACTATTAAAGTAAGAAATAAAACAAGGGCGGCAAATTGCACATGACTTTCACTTTTCAGATATCGAAATTCCGCAATTTCTTTGGACTTATTTAAATTTTAGTCTTTTAAGATGTGTCTTTGCCCCAAACTTTCGTTTTCATTTTGGGTAACAAAATTGTGAGTTTCTTGTTTGTTGCGGAATGACAAGCATTTCATTATTTCTGTTATTTTTATCATATTTTTTAACGATTTTTTTTTTTGGCTTGCGTGTGTGTGTTTGTGTGTGTGTGTTTGTTCACCCAAATTTCAGATATCTGCATTTAAAATTTCTATAAACGAAAGGCACGAGACGACGCGCCGATAGCTGGCTGACCCAGCCATTTATTGTTATTTTCGTTGTTGCTTTGTTGCTGTGGTGGTGTTCGTGAAAAAGAGAAATAACAACAAAAATCAAGGTAAATGCAAAATAAATGCGTTATTAAGAAATGTGTGAAAAAGCCCAACAAAAATTGGCACACTTTTTGGCATTGTCATAATTTTGTAGATTAACAAATTTTTGTGTATGCATATACATACATTAACAAATACGAGTACGTACATATAGTATATGACCCATATCTGATACAAATAATGCATACACGAATAAGCAGATATACTTATACTCGTATAACGTATAGACGACAAGCGATTGTGAGTAATTGATGCTTCAGCAGAGCTACACGCAATCAGAGGCTCTCATCACGTAACTGTAAACTTATCAATGGAATAAGCCAGTTTTGTGTTGGCCAACTAAGCAAGCAACAGCAACAACAACAGCAACAGCAACAGCTTGTCCAGCCTACTTCATTCTAAAGTGAAATTTCTTGAAAAACAACTTTTTTCCAACAAGCCAGTTGGCGGTAGAGAACGTTGATCTGAAGGTTGTAATGAAAATTTGCGCGCCTATCCAGTCCAGACCATATCCAAAGGCATGACATGCAAAGCCAGCCAAGCAAGAGCTCCACAGACCAACATTGCAACACACACACACACACACACACACATGCACATAAACACTCACGGCTCTGAGTCTGAGCAACGCTTCAGACGAACACGACATACGAGTACATTGACAGATACATGTAAACATTTATAAGTTCGTGTGTGTGTGTGTGTGTGTGTTAAACGGTAAACATTCAACCTGCCTTGACAAGGTAGTTACACTCTGTGTGCCAGTGTATGGTTTGACCCAATTCCTATAATCATGTCGCATATCATCATCGCCATCAACAACTGGCCCTGCCAGTCGTCCAGCAAGCTACAACATCATCTTTATCGTTGTCTTTGGCGTCTTCCCTGTCTTCGTCGTCCACTGCCCATTACTGCAACATATCAGACCAATACCTATTTTGTTTTGTGGTCTCTCGTGACTTACACAAAAAAACTGTCTCTCCCACTCTCTATACACAGTATACATTTGTATATTTGTATATATTTTTGTTTCCATGCCGCCTCTGTTAACGCTTTCTTGGCGCTCATCACATTTGCACCTTCCCCGAGCTGTGGATTACAAGCATTAGTTGGGGTTTTGACATATGCGGAAGCATGTTTTAACAATTTGTCTCCAACACCACCTCCCCTTTTTTATCACCATACACCACGACCTGTTTTGTCATTGGCAGAGACTTGCTTTGGCATTGAGCCACAACAACAATTGCAGGCCCTTTCTAATGGATAAAACCACCTTGGGTATTTAGCAATTTCAACAAAAGTTCACAACTACATTTTCACTTTTCTAAAAAGCCGTCCCCCAAATAGACATCCACATCATTATGTAAATCACCTTCAATGGTTGAGACGAGGCCATCCCGCAACAGCGTCCCACTCCCCTCTGCCGCCCTATCCATTGAGCGTTCTTCATAATTGACCGCCCGCCGACAGTAGCCTACTCGCAGTACAACGTCGTACATTCTGCTGGACGGACCCGGCCTGTCTGTGCCCTCCATTCTATTGAACCTTTGAGTGGCTCATGAGTATTGTGGCTCGACTGTGTCGCCTACTTGAGTTTATCTTAAGCTATCTATGCATTGTCTGTAATTGAATAATACTCTGCTCATAATTTCCCTATTACGGGTACTTTTTTTATTAACTAACAAAGCCCATAGTCGTCGCAATTTACAACATAAAAGTTTAATATAGGCTAATAAAAATTGGTCGTCTGCTATCTAAATTATTTCAGAGCAGGTGGTCTCCAGCTAAATGCCTAATGTAACGATTTCATTATCATTTATTTTATTTGAATATAATATGAAACGCTTAAAAGGGAAATTCGGATGAAACATTGATTTTAATCTTTTACTCTCACGAACCCCTTTGGAATTCTAATCGTCCTCTAACAATGAAAACTAGTTTTATTTCTTTTACAAACTATGTAAGGTATATTTCTACATAAAACTATTAAATGTAAAATAATAACTGATTCATGCTCTCAGTCGTTAAGACTCAATCCATTTATATAATTGTTTTAAAAATTATTTAAAAAGTATATATTCCAACACCTCAATGCACATACGACCTATTCGACAGGGGGTAATTGAAAATCTTACGTGGAACTCGCAACCATGACCATATGTAATCAGGGCTAATGTACTTTCCCACAGCTACAGCATTTTGTTATACAATTCGAAACGCTTACACTGGCGAAAATGTGCAAGGTATAACACAAAGTACATTAGCCAGCATTTTAAAGTCATGACAGCAAGATAAAACGAAAATGCATCTACCTTCGTTTTGTTTAGCAAAACGAATGGATCTGACTAAACATATACCATGTGCCATACACACATATAGTAAATGTATACATACATATAGTAAGTATACTACTGTAACCAACATGCTTATTAACTT